GGACGTATCGCGAACAAGGGCTCGACATCCCCAGACACGGAACACCGACGCATCGCCAACCTCCCCCGTCCAACGCAGTGTGGGCGAGGTCTCCGGAGCAGAGACACGGGGCCAAAGGTTGAGCTGATGCGCAGCGTACCGCACTGCAAACGGCCACAGGAAATGGGGGGCAGCCGCATGGATCATGGAGGTACGAGCGACCTCCATGACTAAACCAATGCGGCGCTCAGCAACCCCATTCTACTGTGGGGAGTCCGGAAGCGTGAAAGTCTGGCGGATGCCGTGCTCCGCACAGTAGGCGGCCAGGAGGTCGGAGGAAAACTCACCACCCCTGTCAGAGTGCAGACGCAGGACGGGAAAGTCCGACTGGAACCGCTGGCGGAGCTGGAGACGAGCGGCGCGGATCCAAGGGATCAAAACATCAGGGACCTCACCCTTGGTGCGCAAGGGGAAGACCGTGGTGTAACGCGTGTAGTCGTCGACGACCAGCAGGAAGTACCGCTCGTGGCCCTGTCCCCGGACGCGGGCCGGGCCCCACACGTCCAGGTGAAGAGTCTGCAGGGGAGCCTCTGTGGGAGGGAACGAGGAGGAGTGAGGGGTGGCGCGCTGCCGCCCCTCGACACAGGGAATACAGGGAGGAGCAGGCGAGGGTGGGAGGGGAGGGAGAACTCTGGGAAGACCAGAGACAAGGTACCGGGAGTGCATGCCACGAAGGCGCTGCACTGAGGGGTGACCAAGGCGGTGGTGCCAGAGGACGGTCTGGTGCGACAGGGAGCGACACGAGCAGGGGGCCGACAGCTGACCTGACGCAGACGCAGACGCAGCTACCTGAGGGGACTCAGTGGTCAGTGTGTACAGGTCGGACCCCGGCTGCCGAGTGAAGGTAGCCAGGTGGCGACCCGTCCGAGCACACGTACAGTGGGTCACCCGCTCATAGGCAGGGGTGAACTGGTGAACACCCCCGTCCTGGAGAGCAGAGCCCGCCACCAAGTTCGTAGAGAACGAGGGGAGGTAGAGACCCGATAGAGTGCCAAACGGGGCCAGGAGGTCGCAAGGACCGGGCCCCCAGAGGGGTCAGCAAGGGAGACAGCAACAGGCCGAGCTAGCGGCTCAAGGACAGTGCGGTCACGAAAGAAACAGCGGGAAGCACCTGAGTCCAGTGTGAATGTATGCAGTGCCGCAGTAGACCCAGTACCAGCAGACGCAGACGCACGAGCACCTAGCGCAGCAGCCTTACCAGTACCAATACCTGGGTCGGGCGGCACACTCAGGTAACAGTCACCCTCAGCACTAATAGTCAATGCATACATGGCAGCAAGGATAGCATCATAATCAAGAGCAAAGACATCAATCCCCTTCCTAAGCAGATCAGCCCAGCGAGGCAGCTCAGAGGCGTCAGGGAACTGCTCGCGCCAGGCGTCGTCGAGGCGAAAGAAACAGCGCTGCGCCGTGTGAAACCTCCCACAAGTCTGGCCAGCGCGGTCACCTGTACGGATGACGTACGGGCCGGTACCCCCACCCCCAGACCCCCCACGCTGAGAGTACCACTCACGGAGCTGCTGGGGCGAGGGAGTCTCGCCGGGACGCTGCTGCTGCTGCCTCTGGCCACCGCCGAACCCCCCACGCTGCACCGCTCCACCGCGCCCGCCACCCGCTCCACCGCCACCACCACTGCCACCACCGCCCCCACCACCCCCACCACCGCCGCCGCCGCCACCACCCCCTGTGCCGCCACTGACCCCCCCACCACTCGCGCCACTCCCACTTCCGCCACCACCCCCGCCCCCCCCACCCCCTCCACCGCTGCCGCCCCCGCCTCCACCTCCACCACCCCTGCCCCCCTTGCCCATGCCGCTCTTGCGCCTCCCACTAGGAGTAGACGCGGCCCCGATTCCCTCAGCTCCAAGGTAGTCGACAGCAGCAGCAGATGCAATGGAGGGGAGGAGGGGGGAAGGGGAACACCCCTCAAAGAAGGGGGTGCGGGGGTCACCACGAGAGGCACCTACAGCTACAATGCTCTTCTCAGCTGCTAGGAGTTCCTTCTCGAGGAGGTCGACTGTGAGGTCAGTGGGAGAGAGGGCGAGAAACTGGTCCCTGACAGTGCGAAGGGAGTCAGGGAGGCGGGTGACAAGGTGGTACAGTGTGAGGTACATCGGGGGGGGGGGGGGGGGGGGGTTCTTGGCGAGGAAGTCGGGGGGGAGCTCGGCACGGTAGCGGAGGTCACTAGTACGGAGGTGGGTGATGAGGTCAGCTACAGTGGCAAAGGCGGACAGGTCGGGAAAGAGGTAGGGCAGTGAGAGACGGCCTATAGCAGCAGTGGCAGGGGAGGAGTAGCGCGCGACTACTGCGTCGTACAGTTCTTTAGCGGTCTTATGCTGGCCGAAGTGCTCGCGCTCATCTAACGGCAGGTGGCTGCGAACGGCTAGGCGAGCGTGAGCATCACGGGTCTGCCACTGGGAGCGAGCAGTACTCTCAGCAGTAGCGGGAGGTGCGGGAGCGGCGCCTGACGTGTGGTCATACAGGGAGACATCGTCCTTGGCAGTGATCTGGAGGAACAGGTGGAGGTCATCTAACCAAACCTCAAACCTAATCGGGCGGCCCTCAGCGTCAAAGGTGAGAACAGAGGGAGTGGCCATAGTGTCTGTAGGAGTAGTGGGAACAGTAGTAGCAGTAGGAGTAGTAGTAACAGTTGCAGTTGAAGCAGGTGGGGCACAGTAGGGCGGCGCAGCTCGGCCAGGGCGGCGCGGCTCGGGTCGGGCGGTGCGGCTCGGTTCGGGCGGCGCGGCTCGGCTCGGGCTGGGCTACGCGACGGTGCGCGTGGGCGGCTGTAGCGGGCGGGCCGTGGCTGTGTGTGGGCCTGACTAGCGCGCGGGCGGCGGTCTAGAGGGGCGTCGCGGCGGCCTAGGAGCGGGGCTGCGACACCCTGGGCGGCGGTCGATGGGCGGCTAGGGGCTGCTCGTGAGCGGCGCCGGTCGCGCGGGCGGTTAGGGGCCGGCGCGCGCTCAGAAAAAAAAAAAAAAAAAAAAAAAAAAAAAAAAAAAAAGGCCGCGCGCGGGCCGCTAGCGGGCTACGCGCGCGAAAAAAAAAGCCGCGCGCGGCACTAGCGAGCTGCGCACGGGCAGCAGGAGGAAGAGAGGCGCACGAGGGCGCACTAGGAGAGAGGCACTCGAGGGCGCTTTTAGCGGTGGGCCCTTAGGTAAGCGGTCCTAGGACTAGGACCTAAGCTCTTAATACCATGTCAGAAACAAGAAGTGATTGAACTATGAGAACATTGGAGTACAAGTATGAAACCCTAGAATTGTGTACCCCCTAAAGGCTAACCCACTGTAGCCTACACAGCAATAACACAAGTATAATGTTTGACAAAAGCGACTGCCACGTCAGCAGTACCAGCACTGCTCCGAACTCAGCGGAGTGGTCAAGCAGGTCAAGTCGAGCCACGGCCAGGAGTGAAGGGTAGTGTTACGAATAGTGAGAAATTATTGTGCACTCCTAACCGCAGCAAGCGAAGCACACAGTATCGAAGCACGAACACGAAGAGTCAGAGTTGACTCGAAGCGTTGCAATCAGTTAGAGTGGATATGGACCGTCGGGGCAAGTGGCATCGAGCAGCTGCAGGATCGAGGGAATTGGCGGGAACAGTTTCGTAACTGTTCGAGTCGCACGGTTGGGTTTGAATTCGAATAAGGGAATGTACCCCTTAGAGTACATGGCTAGCTAGGTCGTTTCGTATTCCCCTTGTACTACTATTTATAAGCCTGTATCTGCATGTTTTAGTCATCTCAAAACATTTTACATTCACTCTGTTTTGAGGTCAAGGGCCCACCACTACCATTCAGTTGTGTGCGAACCTTCCCGAGGTGATCCTAGGGACGATCAATTTCTGATCGTAGCACATTCTGCACACCAAACGCCTGCACGATCGATCTCCGAAATTTGGTGAGAGTTGACGCGTCCTAAAAATGCTTCTCTAAAGTGAGTCTACATTGAGGAACAATAATTCCTTATTGTTACGAGTTGTATGAAAGGAGAGTGCGCAGAATGCAATATCGCAGAAGTGATTACTACTCAGCAAACAACGAGGCCTATGCATAATATAGCGAAGCTAGCTAGGCCGAGGTCGCGGAGTCGCGTGAAGGTTGGGTGCAGGTTTGGGGGTTGGGAAACCCCGAAGGCGACGCGAGAGACGCTCGGAAGGCGAGGTCGTCGGACCGAGCCTGAATTCCGAAAAGTTTAAATTGTACGCGTATGGAGTGCCTAAGTAAGGAATTAGGAAAATTCCTTACACTTATAGTCAGGGGAACTACAATGGGCCAATTCTGTAAAAAAACACAATAACGGGAGCTGCCGGCTGACTGTCTGTCGGTGTTCCTAGGTCCAACTTCCAAGCCTTTTACAACAGTTTATCGCAGACTGCGCACGTACAGTAGTTGACATCGCACGTTTACAGGAGCCGTGGCGCACTTTCGGCCTGGGATCCCAGTCCCCGCGCCGGCGGAGGTCTGCCGGTATGGCGCTCAGCGGCGGTTTGGTTCAATCGCCGTCCCGGCAGTGCTCGTATCGTACGACTGCCCGAACCGGCGTAACCAGATAGCTGCCGCAGCGAAATCATGTGTTGCGATCCCATTATCGTCCCACGAACGAACTTGTCCCCGTTTCCCGTACCTGACCGCGGCGCGACGGTACAATCAACAATAGCCTCCCAGCCGTTCTCGCTCGTACGTTCCGCAGCTATTTGTTGGTTGAATCGCCGCTAGCAGTAGTAATTGTTGTACTAAAACTGGGCAGGGGCTTGTGTGTCTGCCTCGACTTCCGCCTCATCACAGTTCAGCGTTTTACTGTCGCTCCCTTGCCAGTCGCGATCCACGCAGTCCACAGCCCGCCGTAGTACTACTACTACTAGTAGTAGTAGTAGCCTCTGATATGAGGTGCCGTTTTTGCAGGCTCGCCGTCGCTCAATTTTACGACCACGTCGAGTCGCAGCAGCATACCGTGACGGCATGAAGCTCCTACTACCAATCGCCGCCGCGGCTCTTCTCCTCGTCGCCTTGACGGCGCGCGTGCCGGCGGCGAGCGCGGCCGGGTGGGTGGAGCTGGACCTGACGAAGACAGGCGCAGCCAGTGATGCGGCGCTCGCGCAGAGAGCGGCGGGAATTGCGGTGGAAACGTACAACGCGCAGACGGTGAGTCGCTCGTATTACTACCTGATTTCCGCCCGCGAAGCTTAAGCTTGAGGGCGGATGCGGAATCATGCCCGGGTCGTGGCTCGGGCAATTGTCGAAGAGTATTTCGCATTGCGTCAAGGCGAGGCTCATTACAGAGAGCAGAGTTGACGCAGAGTTGGCGCAGAGTTGGCGCAGAGTTTCCCCTTCAGAGAGCCTCTGTAGCGGCCGCGTCCCGCACGTGATGATTGAAGGACCATTCGACGTAGTATCCGCGTGTCACAGCATGTTTCCATGACTGCCGCGCTTGCATAGCTCTCCCACTTCCCCGCAGGGTGCGAGGCGAGGCGAGTTCTGGTAACCCCTCCTTGATCGCCGCAGCACCCACAATGAGTTGCCGCCGCCAGCGGCGAGTGTGATGTCATCAGAACGCCCTTTCTTAGCGATCGGTTGAACCAACGACTGTATGCAATCACAATGATCGGATTCTCTTGGTGACTTTTGAGACGTCTCAAAACTTGTCTCTTAGCAATCGGTTGAACCAACGACTGTATGCAATCACAATGATCGGATGCTCTTGGTGACACCGTGATGCCTGTGTAGACCATGAACATGACACCACGTTACTGCGTGCTCCAGCCCCAATCAGCACCATGGTGTGATTGGTCCTCAGACCAGGTCGCAGTGTGGTGCGTTGCGATGCTGCATGACAGCCGCATACAGCGTCTTCTGTCGTGCCATGTTGTGTCGTGTCGTGTCGTGTCGTGTCGTGTCGTGTCGTGTCGTGTCGTATTGTGTCGTGTCTGCGTCGTGTCGTGTCGGGTCTGTGGATGGTCGTGTAGTGTAGTGTAGTGTCGTGTCGTGTCGTGTCGTGTCGTGTCGTGTAGTGTCGTGTAGTGTCTTCTCGTGTCGTGTCGTGTAGTGTCGTGTAGTGCCGTGTAGTGTCTTGTCGTGTCATGTTGTGTTGTGCGAAGTGCTGTTGCGGATTAACAATCGCATGCAGTGTTTTTTCTTCCATGCCAATCAGCAGCTTATTTCCACTGCGGGAGATACTATTTGTGACAGCCCTCCCTGCTTCGCATGGACTCTACGTCCATCCTCGTTATAGAGTCGATCCAGCCCATGTGCTCCCCATCTACTATTCTAGTACCACCTCAAATTCCCACCAGCAGCAGTGGCAGAACCACTCGTGGATCGTGGATTCAAGTACCACCCATATTGGTGTTACTTTAGAGAATTCTCAAAAGTAGCACCAAGTACCAACCATCTATCCACCCTCGCCCTCCACGCCATCAGCCGCAGCAGTGGGTGCGGTGGCAGGACCGATGGTCAAGCCCTGATCCCGCCTCCTCCTTTCTCTCCATGCTCCCTCTGCTCCCCCCCCTCCTGATCCCTCTTCCCCTCTCACTCCCCCTCTCCATTCTCCTCCCCCTTCCTCTTCTCCTCTCCATCCCCCTCCCCTTCCCCTCCCTTTCCCCATTCCCTAAAGAAATCCACGCTCTTCCTGGCGGCGGTTGAGTCTGCGGAGGTCTTTGTGCCCGCTGAAGTGGGACGGAGAGCCGTCATCTGCATTACCTTCACTGGCCGCGAGCAGCAGAGCACGATAAGGAGGCTGCTGAGGGAGCACAAGGGCGCACTGCAGAGGCTCCTGCGCAGCCAAGCACCCACCATCCACCATCCACCGAACCCTCCCTCCCCTCCTGCCCTGCTCTCCCCTCGTTCTTTGCAGCAATCCGCGCTCTCTCTGGCGGCGGTTCAATCCGCGGAAGTCTTTGTGCCCGCCGATGTGGGGCGGAGAGCCGTCATCCGCGTGGCCTTCGCTGCCGAGGAGCAGCAGGGCGTGCTGCAGAGGCTGCTGCGCGGCCCTGGCAGCACAGTTGCGGTGCAGGCCGAGATTGCGGGAACGTCGCACGAACTGCACCATTATAAGCTGGAGAGATTTGTTATAACTGGATGAAGTGCACTAGGTGATTTTTTTTTCCCTTACTGGAGAGAAAGAGATTCTATTACTGGGCATTGCCAATTGTGATTGGTGGGTGTACATCATTGTTGCCTGGGTGCTGCTGGCATGATGGTGTATATTCACCACTATGAGTGGACTGGACACAGTACAGTGACTGGATGCGCTTCCTTTTTTTAGGCAAGTGAAGAGCTTCTATTGTGGTGTGATCGCATCGCGTCGCATGTAGTTACCCCCACCATCCCCCTCCCTTTCTTTCCATGCCTAGGGTAGGGTGCATGGGATTGCATTGCATGGTGCTGAGATCAGAAGTTGATCGTAGCCCAGGATCTACCCAGGAAGGTTCGCACGCAGTGAGATAGTTTGGTGGGCCCTTGACCTCAATAGCAGAGTGAATGTAAAATGCTTTGAGATGAATAAAACATGCAAATACAACGATATAAATATGAGTACAGGGGAATACGAAGCGACCTAGCTAGTCATGTACTCTAAGGGGTACATTCCCTTATTCGAATTCAAACCAACCGTGCGGCCCGAACAGTTACGAAACTGTTCCCGCCAGATTCATTGTCCCTGCAGCTGCCCGATGCCGTTTTTCTCCGACGGTCTAGATCCACCCTAACCGTCTGACGCTTCGAGTCAACTCTGACTCCTCGCATTCGTTCTCGATACTGCATGCCTCTTTGCTGCGGTGAGGAGTGCACAGTAATATCAAGTATTACTATTCGTAACACCCCCCTTCACTCCTGGCCGTAGCTCGACTTGACCTGCTTGACCACGCCGCTGAGTTCGGAGCAGTGCTGATACTGCTGGCGTGGCAGTCGCTTTGTGAGGAAGTCTGCTGCCATGTCACCGGTCGGGCAGTAGGTTAAGTTGACCTTGCCTTTGTCCACCTCGTCCTTCACGAAGAAGTACCGCAGCGCGATGTGCTTGGTGCGGTTGACGAAACCAGGTTTGTTCGCGATGCGAATCGCGCTCTGGTTGTCGCAGTGAAGGCGGAAGGTTGGCGAAGTTGGAATTTTCGCTTCTTGCAGAAGCTCCTGCAGGTAGAGGCCTTCGCGAACTGCTGCGGTTGCTGCGATGAATTCCGCTTCGGCTGACGACAGGGCAACCAATTCCTGCTTCTGTGAATTCCAGGAGATTGGTCCCGATGGCTCGAGTCGGAACAGGAAGCCGGTCCTGGACCGTCGATTGTCGGGGTCTGCTGCGTGATCGGCGTCCACGTAGCCGATGAGGTTGAAAGATGGAGTCGGCATAGTCGCGTAGCATAGCCCAATCTTGGGCGTTGAAACAAAGAACTGAAGGGCACGCTGCAGGTCCAGGAGATTCTCAGCCGTTGGTTTCCGTGAGTACTGCGCGAGCTGACTCGCGATGTAGGACAGATCTGGTCTGCAGGTGACAGAGGCGAAGAGAAGACATCCCAACTGCTGCTGGTAAGTCTGAATCCCAGCAGGGGATAAGGCTTTGTTGTCAGGTTTGTGGTTCGGTCCGGGGGTGCGATAGGGAGTTGAGAGAGATGCCGGTGAAATGTTGAACCGCTTCCCTAACTCCTCTGCATACTTAGCCGCTGAAAGGTGAATGGCCTCAGGAGCATAGGAGATGTTAAGGCCCAGGAACTGCTTCACCTCGTAGTTGCACGTGATGTCAATGCGCCCTGCCAAGGCCTTCTCGAACTGCTCGAGAAGCTCGTTGCTCGAGCCTGTGTAAAGCAGGTCGTCGACGTACACCGTGAGGAGAATGTATTCCCCGCGGAAGTCGCGGCGGTACATTCCTGGGTCGTGCGGCATCTGCTTGAACCCGATTTCAAGCAGGATGTTGTGCAGGTACTGCTGCCACAGTCTCGGTGCCTGTTTGATGCCGTAGAGTGACTTTCGCAGCTGACACACGCGCGCGTCCCCTTCGCCATAGGTGTGCGGCTGCTCCACATAGATCACGGCGTCTACTAACGCGTACAGGAACGCGTTCTTTACGTCGATTTGGCGGAGTGGCAGATGCCTTGCGGCTGCGATGGCTAGCAGGATGCGGACGGAGGTGTGACGGCTAACTGGGGCGAACGTTTGATCGAAGTCGATCCCGTGCCTCTGGTCATAGCCGCGAACCACCCATCGCGCCTTAAAGCGCTCGATCGTCCCATCCGCTGCGGTCTTCACGCGGAAGACCCACTTCCCCGAGAGAATTCTTGCGCCCTTGATTGCTGCGCGGTCGACGAGCACCCAGGTGTTACGTGACTCCAGTGCCTTAATTTCCGCGTCCATCGCCTCACGCCACTCCTTGCTGTGTGGTCCAGAGAGAGCCTCGCGCGGGTTTCGGGGCTCGATGATGCGCGGCGCTTTCGAGGTAGCAGCGTGAAGCCCGAGCAGTTGCAGCCCCGAAACGGTGCTGTCGTGGCGGCGTTGCGGGATGACTTCCTGCACGTCGTCGTCATCACTTTCTGGTTCAGGTGGTGCTGGTGGTTCTGCGCCTCTGCCGCTTCCGCCTGTTCCTGTTCCGCCCATTCCTCCTCCTGAGGAATCATCGTCGTCGTCGTCGCTGCTGTGCCGATCCTCCCATGCGAACTCGGCCCTGGTGTCTTGCTCCAGGAGTGCTGCAGCGGCTTCGTCTTCGGGCGTTGCGTAGCTGTGTCCGTTGTTCGCGTAGACGCGATCTGCGTTTCTCTGTTCGTCATCGCGGAATTGGTCGAGGAAGAGACGCTCGTAGAAGATTACGTCGCGGGCATGGGCGGTCTTCTGACTCAGAAGGTCCAGCACGATCCACGCCTTGTGCTCGTGGCTAATGCCGAGGTGAATTCCCCAGCGCGCGCGACTGGTGAATTTGCCGATGGTTGATGTCGGCGGTCGGTACTGCACCATGCACCCCCAGACGCGCAGCATCGATGTGTCCCCCTTTGTCCCAGTCCACTTGACGTGCGGGGACAGGTTGCCGGTAATTGCGGTGGTCGAAAGCAGGTTGTGCACCCGCACGGCGTGGTGCATCGCGTAAGTCCAGTAGATCGGCGGCAGCTTTGATTGCTTCATCAGCGCGCGCACCTTCGTCATCAGCGTGCGGTTCGTCCGCTCAGCTACGCCCTGTTGCTGGTGTGCGTAGGGGAGGGAGATGTGATGCTCGATCCCCTTTTGCGTCAGGAATGTCTGCATCTGATTACTCCTGAATTCTGCCGCGCCGTCGGACTGCCAGATCTTGAGCTTCTTTCCAGATTGCCGCTCCGCATGTGCTAGCCAGAGGCGGAACACCTCGTAGGCTCTGTCGCGCGTCTCCACGTTCACGACCCATACATAGCGTGTTCCTGCGTCGATGAAGGTAAGCGTGTAGAGTTCGTCTTCGATTCCGCAATGCCCCACGTTCAGGAAATCGCTGTACACCTTGTGCAGCTTGGGGTATCGGTTGGTTCCAGGTTCGAGCAGCGGGAACGGTTGGTGGCTCAGCGCAGCTTCGGGGCAGACGGTGCAGTTGCGCGGATGTGTCGCGCCACTCACTTCGGAGCCATCAGGGCGCAGGAGTGCGCCAGGAGCGAAGACGCCAGCGTCGATGCAGTTTTTGAGCGTCGCGCGGGAAGGGTGTCCGAGGCGCTGGTGCCAGAGTGCATCATCAGCGCGAAAGCCGGAGGTGCGCATATAGCGCGCGCGCGCTTCCTCGGGGTCTTCGTCAGGTACAGGAGCAGGTTCTGCTGCTACTTCTTCTGCTTCTTCTTCTGCCGCGGTGGTCAGCATCAACGCCAAGAACTCTCTGTCGCGAATTTCAGAGAGCGGGATGTTGGTCCCAGGGATGGTTTCAGGAACGTTGAGCGTGATGTGCGTGCGGCTCCCGCGTGCTTTGAGCACGACGATGCCTTGCGCGCTTGCGCGCAGGCGCGTGTTGTTCGCCACAGTGACATAGGTGGCGGTAGGAGTGGGGATGGCGTTGGATATGTAACGCTCGGAGCCCACCATATGCTGGCCGCAGCAGCTGTCCAGGTACCAGGTGTTGTAGCGCTTGTTGTCGTCACGGGCGAGCAGCGCCAGTCGCGGTGTGACGATGTGCGGAGTGTCGAACTTCAAAAATTGCTCGCGCGAGAGCCAATCAATTGGCGCCACCCGCATATCAGGTATGTGCGGGGGACTTTCAAGCAGCGGGACTGGAAGGTTCCAGTCTTGGTCGTCGTCGTCGGTGAAATCGTGGCGCGGGTTGAACGGGTTGTTGTTGGTGAACGCGCCAATGGGGTGCGGTGCCGGCTCGGGTGAAGGCGAGCGGGCACGGCGACGACGCGATTCGCTGGTCATGGCCATGTTGCTCATGACGTTGCGAGCTGGGGCAGTCGGTGACGGCTGCTGCTGCTGATGCTGAACCGCTGGGTTCAGGTTGCGCGCGGAAGGGGGCTGATACCCCTGGGCATGACGCGCGTCGCCTCGTGCGTCTTGACGGCCGGACCAGGTGCTCGGATTGGTCTGGCGAGGGCGGGATCGGTTCTTGCATCGATCCGCCAGATGCCCGAAATTTCTGCAGATTTTGCAGTAGAGGCGCCGTGGCTTTCGCTCTTCGGTGTTGTCGGCGTAGAAGGCGAGCCTTTCGCGTTCTCGTCGCGGCGCAGGTCGCTGCTGATCCATATCCCTCTGTTCGACGAGAAGGGCGGCGCAAAGGGCGGCCTCCGAGATGACCCCCTGCTGTCGAAGAAGCGCCTTGCAGGGCCGCCACTCTGGGCCGAGCCCTTGAAGCACGATATTCACGAAGATTTCTTCCGAAATCGAGCTTCCCAGCTTCGCGATTTGGTCGCGAAGGCTTCGACAGCGATTGATGTAGCTGTTGGCCTTCTCCCCTGGGGCCATTTTTGTTTCCAGTAGCTGCTGAAGCAGCCGGCTCGAGGAGACGGAGTCCTTCGGCTGATACACACCGTTGAGGTGTCGCCAGGCTTCAAGGGCTGGGGCGGCCGAAGTCTTGTATGAGCGTATGCTCAGTTGCTCCGTCGGTGCCATGTTCCGCAGGAGCACCCCGTACGCCATTAGGGACTCGTTGTAGTAGCGGGTCCTGGCGTCGTCCGTGTCGTCGGCAGGCTCCGCGTAGCTCCCGTCGAAATAGTGAAAGATTTGGGCGTTCTGCAGCAAGAGCTCCAACTCGAAGCTCCAGGTATAGAAGTCTCTGCCGTCAAAACAAGTACTTGTCTTTATTTTTGATATGCTCAGAAACTTTGATTGAGCAGAGAGAATTGCCTCTTCACTGGGACGGGGAGCCTTGGGGGTTGAGCCATTGGTGTCGAGAGAGAATGTGTGCGGGGCGGCGTTCTGGCCAGTTGGGGCCGGTTGGGATGGTTGCGAGGATGTTCCCGCATCGCCGTTCCGCAATGTTTGGAGTCCTTGCTCCAGGCTGGTGAGTCGCTGAAGAAGTTGTGCGAGAACTTCGGTGCCGATCGTCGTCGTGTTTTCGCTTGTCGCAGCCGGGTTGGGTTGCGCTTCAGCCGTCAGATTTGTCTGACCACCAGATCCTCCGGCCATCTTCACTCGTGAGCGTGTGCCGGACGCCACTTTCCGAATGTCGCAATTTTCGGGAGTGGCAGTGCGAAGGATTCCCGAGCCGCTCTCATACCATGCTGAGATCAGAAGTTGATCGTAGCCCAGGATCTACCCAGGAAGGTTCGCACGCAGTGAGATAGTTTGGTGGGCCCTTGACCTCAATAGCAGAGTGAATGTAAAATGCTTTGAGATGAATAAAACATGCAAATACAACGATATAAATATGAGTACAGGGGAATACGAAGCGACCTAGCTAGCCATGTACTCTAAGGGGTACATTCCCTTATTCGAATTCAAACCAACCGTGCGGCCCAAACCGTTACGAAACTGTTCCCGCCAGATTCATTGTCCCTGCAGCTGCCCGATGCCGTTTTTCTCCGACGGTCTAGATCCACCCTAACCGTCTGACGCTTCGAGTCAACTCTGACTCCTCGCATTCGTTCTCGATACTGCATGCCTCTTTGCTGCGGTGAGGAGTGCACAGTAATATCAAGTATTACTATTCGTAACACATGGAGTGTGCAGTTGCGTGTAAATCAGAAACCACAATCTCTGTGTGCTCTTGCATTGCATCCATGCATGCATGTTACCGGTAGCTTCTGCATGGCCCCACCCTATCCATGCATGCATGCGGCTTTAAATTAGAGCCAATATCTTATTTGCAAGAGCACAACATTGGCTACCAGCTAAGCATGAGGTTTAGCTGTTAGATTACTTTGCCATTTACTGTACTACACTCCCCCCAACCGCTCTGTGCTTCCTTGGGTGGGAACCCTCCTCACACCCCCTGTGCCACGTACCTATCTCCTATCCACCATACCTCCCACCAACTTCATCGAAAACCCCATTACATCACGCATATTGCCCAATCCTAACGACTGGCCCCAACCGCCGCTCTATTCCATCAACCACCAAACCCTTGGTTTACGGCACCTTAAGAAGATCTGCAGCAACCTCTATTCCAGAAGAACCCTAACACATCAGCCATCCTGCCCAATCCTCCAAACCACTCTCCAGCACTCCATTCCATCCAGCGAAATCCTTTGTTTACGGCACCTCAAAGAGAGCAGCCGAAACCTCTTCTCCTCAAACGCCCCACCCTTCCTTCCACCACGCATGCCATCATGCCATGTGGTATGGCACCTGACATCCCATCCGGCATGACATCCCCCAGCCAGCCATCCCACCTAATCATCCTCATCGCTCTCCACCACTCTCTTCCTCAAACGCCCCACCTCACATGCCACCGGCAATGGCACCTGACATGCCACCTGACACGCCACCACCCATCCCATCTAATCATCCTCATCGCTCTCCACCACTCTCTTCCTCCGCCACGCCGCTGCCTTCTTGCTCTCCTCCCTCTCCTCCATCCAATCCTCCTCATCCCCTCCCTGCTCCTCCCCTCCTCCCCGCCCCCTGTCCCCCCCTCTCCGCCCATACCCCTCCTCATCAGATTCCTCCACTCTCCTGCCCCTGCCCCCCCGCCCCTCATCATACCCCCCGCGGCCTTTGTCCTCATCTGAGTCCTCCTCATTGCTGTACCGCCCTCCTCTGCCTGAGAATTTTGCTGCCTTGGCGGGGCGATGGTCGTAAGAGGGAGAGCGCTGGTGGTGGGAGGGAGGGCGCAGGCAGGATGAAAGAGGCAGAGGGGGGTGGGGAAAGGAAGGGGTGGTGAGGAGCGCAAGAGAGTGCAGGGTATAGCACTACAGGCGTTGGCAGGGATTGTGCCGTTTTCCGCCTCCCCCCCTCGGCCTCTATCCTCTTCTGAGTCCTCATCATGGTTGTATCGCCCTTCTCTGCCTGAGGCCTTTGCAGCCTTAATTGGCCGTTAGTTGTAGGAGGGGGGGCGCTGATGGGGGAGGCAGGATGAAAGAGGGGGTGGGCTCAAAAGTCTTGCATGGAAGGAACACGCACTCCAGTGGCCGTGTTAGGTACTAATTGCAGAGATGAGTACAGCGGCCGGGCAGCAGGGAGGAGTAAAGGGGTCGGGCAGCAGGGCGCGGGAAAGAGAAAGAGATGAGGGAATGAGATTGAGACATGTGACGAGGGGACAATGAGGTGAGAAGAAGAAAGGAAGGTTAATCCAAGCACTCACCCTCTTCCCTACACGCACTCACCCTCTTCCCTTGTCGCCGATCGTATCTGTCCTCCTCTTCCTCCTCTTCCTCTTCATATTCGTCCTCTTCCTCCTCTTCCTCCTCGATCTCGTATTCGTTCCGCCGCCCGCCCCCTCCTCTCCCTCGATCCCGTCCATATCCATAGCCCTCCTCCTCCCTCTGTTGAAGCACATGCCATGCAATGCAGCGTCAGGTGTGGCCAGGTATCATGTCAAGGCATGACATGTCACATCGTACAACACCATTCACATACCATATCATCTCATGTCCAGGTCACACCACACACCAAGCCATGCCACCACAGCACCATGCAGCACACATCACCATGCAACACACATCACCATGCAGCACACATCACCATGCAACACACATCACCATGCAACACACATCACCATGCAACACACATCACCATGCAACACACATCACCATGCAGCACACATCACCACGCAACACACATCACCATGCACCACACATCACCACGCAACACACATCACCATGCACCACACATCACCATGCAGCACACATCACCATGCAGCACACATCACCATGCAACACACATCACCATGCAACACACATCACCATGCAACACACATCACCATGCACCACACATCACCATGGAACACACATCACCATGCAACACACATCACCATGCAACACACATCACCATGCAACACACATCACCATGCAGCACACATCACCATGCAACACACATCACCATGCAACACACATCACCATGCAACACACATCACCATGCAACACACATCACCATGCAACACACATCACCATGCAACACACATCACCATGCACCACACATCACCATGCAGCACACATCACCATGCAGCACACATCACCATGCAACACACATCACCATGCAACACACATCACCATGCAACACACATCACCATGCAACACACATCACCATGCAACACACATCACCATGCAACACACATCACCATGCAACACACATCACCATGCAACACACATCACCATGCAGCACACATCACCATGCATGCAGCACTCGACACAATGCATGCAGCACACAACACCATGCACGCAGCACACGACACCATGCACGCAGCACAGGCCAAACACAAGACATGAAGGCATCTGAGAACAAGGCAAGAGCTGGTGGCGTGGCGCCGCTGCAAGGGGACGGATCGTCGTAGCACACACACAGACAGCACTGAGGAGGTTGTGCAAATGTGTGTGCTCATGCCGCACACACTCACATGTGATAGTGGTAACCACCTTCTCATGGCTGCTGAGCAAACCAGCATCGTGCCTCTAGCGATCGCCATCGCACTCAATGCCACCCCCTTCTTCCCCCGCACCTGTCAGTACCCCTCCGCACCAGTCAGTACCTCCTCCCCCCCTCTTCCACCCCCCCCACCCCACGCCTGTTGGAAATCCATGCACCTGTTGCCGGTACCCCCCCTTCCTTTCGTTGCTGCTCGCGGTCTCGTGCAGCGCGCTGCTGCGGCCGGTTGGAGTATTTCCGTAGGCACTGCTTGTGCCAGTGGCCCCCCACACCTGCACCTGGAGGCACCTCACCACACCTGCGCCTGGCAGCAATCCAATCCACGCACCTGTTGCCTGTATCCCCCGCCATATCGCTGCTGCTCGCGGTCCCGTGCAGCGCGCTGCTGCGGCTGGTTGGAGTACTTCCGCGCTCGCTTCTCCTGCTCCTGCCTCAGCGTCTCCTTGGTGCGGATCTGCTGCTGTATGCTCTGCAAGGCGGAAGAGATGGGTGGGTGGGGGGAGATAGGGTTGTTGCAAAGGAGACAACTGAGATGCTGGTGAGAGCCGAGAAGCACAACTTCTCCTGCTCCTGCCTCAGGGACTCCTTCGTGCGGATTAGTGCGGATCTGCTGCTGTGTGCTCTGCAAGGCGGGAAGGAAGGCGGGGAGGAAGGGGGAGGAAGCGGAAGGAAGGGGGAGGAAGGGGGAGGAATGGGGAGAAAGGGGGAGGAATGGGGAGAAAGGGGGAGGAATGGGGAGGAATGGGGAGAAAGGGGGAGGAATGGGGAGAAAGGGGGAGGAATGGGGAGGAATGGGGAGAAAGGGGGAGGAATGGGGAGAAAGGGGGAGGAATGGGGAGGAATGGGGAGAAAGGGGGAGGAATGGGGAGAAAGGGGGAGGAATGGGGATTTGTTGCGCCCGTTCCTGCCTCGAAAGACACCTGATGACACCCATAGCTTATCCTGCTCCTGCCTCAGCGTCTCCTTGGTGCGAATCTGCTGCTGTATGCTCAGCCAAGCGGGAGAGGTGGGGAGCGGAGTGATAGGGAGGTGAGAGAGGGGAAACGGTCAATGGGACAGGCAAGGAGATTAGAGTTGAGCAGGTGCCCCGCTCGGGTCGGGCCGACCCGACCCGACCCGTGGTTTTGCTCGGGTCGTGTCAAGGTTTCTGAATCTCTGCCCCGTACGGGCCGACCCGACCCGACCCGGGGTAAGACCCGACCCGAGGGCCCATTTCGGGCCGGGCCGAGCCGGGTTTCGGGTCGGGCCTGCCCCAAACCGATTTCGGGTCTAAAATGTCGAAATCGGGCCAGGCCAGGTGCGCGACCCGATTTCGACAGGGCTAGGGCCGAAACCCTAGCCCAAATGTAAATCGATCGAGGGGATTTTTTCCCCGTCGATTTACATTCGCCACCCCAGCAGCTAGTGGCCTTAGGGTATTAAGTACCTTCCTTAACACTACCTCCTATCTTAGGCTTTCCCCCACGAATGCACATACTTACAGTTACATTCGTAGATATTCGATTCTGGCTGCACTAGTAGTGCATTTCGCATAGGTCAATTTCATAGTTTTTAGGGTACTAAGATTCAAGCGCACCCTCTAGTTTCCTTCGACCCCACTACATCGGTGGCGTTTCCGTTGTAGTGGACGCATTTACTGGCAACCGCTGCACGATTTCACATAGGTTCGCGTCGGCCGCTTGCACGGTGAGGGGGAATCCGCAAGCACACGTTTCGTTGCACATTGTGATGAATACCCCCAGCCTCCCCTAAGGGGGCGGGTCTGCCTGGCCCGACCCGGCCCGACCCGACCCCGGGTCCCCTTTGACCCGAGTCTGTAGGCCCGGCTCGGGCCAACTGTTTCAAGAGGTCGGCCCGACCCGACCCGACCCGAGGGCCCGTGTGGCCCGGCCAAATCGGGTCGAGTCGGGCCGGGTCGGGCCACATGCTCAACTCTGAAGGAGATGAGTGAAGTGAAGGGGCTCTGTGACTCACACACGACCGTGGTGACTCACACACGAGATTGTGGTGACTCACACACGAGATTTTGGTGACTCACACACGAGATTGTGGTGACTCACACATGCACACGCACACTCTCTTCACGCACACACACACGCTCCTCCTTCTCAGGCTGACACACACTTCAGGAACAAGCACACCAAGACACTCTCTTTCTCACACAAGCATGTGCACTGCCACTGAATTACTGACTCACTGACTGACTAACTCACGTACCGACTTACTGACCGACCGACCGTCCGACCGACCGTCCGACCGACCGTCCGACTGACTGACCGACCGACCGACCGACCGACCGACGGACTGACTGACTGACTGACTGACTGACTGACTGACTGACTGACTGACTGACTGACTGACTGACTGACCGACTGACTGAGCGACTGACTGACTGACCGACTGACTGACCGACTGATCGACTGACTGACCGACTGACTGACTGGCCGACCGACTGACCGACTGATCGACTGACTGACCGACTGACTGAGCGACTGACTGACTGACTGACCGACTGACTGAATAACCGACTGACACGCCACCGTGCTCACCCGCTCGCGCTCCACCTCATTTTCAAGGTCACGCTCCGCTTGCGACCCACTCACACACTCACTCACTCGCTGATTCACGGACTGACTGACTGACTGACTGACTGACTGACTGACTGACAGACACGCTACCGCCCGCGCTCACCCGCTCGCGCTCCTCCTTCTCCTTCTCGGGGTCGCCCGTGGTCACGATGCTCTTGAGCTCCTTGCCCTTGCGGTACTTGGAGTCCAGCCCCAGCGTCAGCTTCTTGTGAATCAGACTGTGCGTGTCAAACGGCCGGAAGCGCATCTTCTCCAGAAGCTGCCCCTGCCCCTGCACCACCCCTTGCTGCAGGTGGTTGGGGAGGGAGAGGAGAAGGGAGAACCAGATAGGCGTGCGCTTCTTGTGCATCAGTGTGTGTGTGTGTGTGTGTGTGTCAACTGCACTGCCCCTGCCCCACCCCTCGCTGCGCATGGGTGGTGAGAGGGAGAGGGAGGAGGGGAGCGAGGGAGGGAGAGGAAGATAAGGTGTGAGCTTCTTGTGAATCAGTTCGTGCGTTTCAATCGCATCTTCTCTAGCAGCTGCCCCTGCCCCTGCACCACCCCTTGCTGCGCATGGGAGGCGGAGAAGGGGAGGGAGAAAGGGAGGAAGGGAATGAGAGGTGGGTGGGGGGGTGACGCAGAGAGGGATGGGGAGTGGGGAAGGGAGAGAGGGCAGGAGGGAGAGAGTGCACGAGGGAGAGAGGGCACGAGGGAGAGAGGGCACGAGGGAGAGAGGGCACGAGGGAGAGAGGGCAGGAGGGAGAGAGGGCAGGAGGGAGAGAGGGCACGAGGGAGAGAGGGCACGAGGGAGAGAGGGCACGAGGGAGAGAGGGCAGGAGGGAGAGAGTGCGAGGAAAAGGCGTCAGCTTCTTGTGGATGAGGCTGTGCGTGTCAACCAGCCGGAACCGCATCTTCTCTAGCAGCTGTCCCTGCCTGCCCCTGCACCACCCCTTGCTGCATGCGGGTGGGCGGGCGCAAGGCAGGGAGAGGCGGAGGAACAAACGGAGGAAGGGAGACGGGGAGAGAACGAGATGGGGGGGGCGGCAGGGAGACGGCGCAGCATGGGGAGTGGCGGAGAGAGAGAGGGAAGGAGTGTGACAAAGAGGGGTGAGAGTCTTGTGAGTCAGACTGTGCGTGATGAACCGCCGGAAGAGCATCTTCTCCAGCAGCGGGCCCTCCCCCTGCACCACCCCTTGCTGGCTGTAAAGGCAGGGGAGAAAATGAGAAGCGTGAGAGGAAGCGAGAGTAGGAGGGAGCGAGCAAGAGCATATTGTAGAAAGGAATTGTGTGAATGTGTGCAGTATGCTCTGTGTGTGTGTGAGTACCTTTTGGGTGGGGTTGGGGTAGCAGCAGCAACTTGGGGTGGTAATACTAGTACCCTGAGAAACAGCACCTTGGGGTGGCGCACAAAGAGGTGTGCCTTGTCATGCTGCATGCTCTTGATGTCTGTCGCCAGCACCTCGGAACTGAGTTGGGTGTTAAGTATACGTATACCAGAACCTTGGAGTACCAGCAGTACCTTGGGGTGGCGCACAAAGAGGTGTGCCTTGTCATGCTGCATGCTCTTGATGTCTGTCGCCAGCACTTCCGCGCCCAGCAGCAGATGCAGCGAGCCGTCCGACCATCGCACCATGCGCGCATTGCTCTCCACCTGGTGGGATGAGAGGAGGGATGAGAGGTGGGATGAGCGGTGACAGATAAACAACAGCACAGAATATGCTTCATTTGACCAACACACGTCGCCACACAAGCGGCCAGCAGCAGATGCAGCGAGCCGTCCGAGCATGGTGCTGTGCACCTGTGCACCATGGTGCTGTGCACCACGTTTTCGAGAAACACCCTGCGAGGCGTCCGACCGGCGCCCCATGCGCGCATTGCTCTCCTCCTGGTGGCATGCGGTGGGTGGAGAGATGAAAAGTAGACACTTTAAAGCGTCAGCACACACACAGAGCGCTTCATTCCACCACAGCACACAGTGTGCGCGTTGGCACGGCATGGCACAGCACTGCAAGCGGCTTGCACCTACCCCCATCCCTTCTCCTCTTGTAACCTGCATATATGCTATAGGATAGGCTAGAGATCAGCACCCAAGTTTACTTTGGGTGTACAATCAGGGGTAACCCAGTTTGGAGGTTGGAACCCAACCTTGGTCCAATTATCGGACCCCAAAGGTTGGGTTGGGAAGATTATTGGTCCCCTCCAATAATGTTGGCCCAACTCCAACTTGGCCAACATTATTAGACCCCACCAATAATGTCCCAACCCAACTTATTGGTGGGGGACCAATAATGCTAGCCTAGGTTAGCAACCAACCCCCCTTCTAGCTCCACCTATGTATACCTCTGCTTTTCCTAATCAAATCATCCCTTTCTCTTCAAGATAATTTCCCACATCCCACACCCTCAACCATCCTACACCCACCCTCATCCCACACCCACTGCCATCCCACACTCAACCCCATGCCGCACCAACCCCATGCCGCACCAACCCCATGCCGCACCAACCCCCATGCCGCACCAACCCCAATGCCGCACCAACCCCCATGCCGCACCAACCCCATGCCGCACCAACCCCATGCCGCACCAACCCCATGCCGCACCAACCCCATGCCGCACCAACCCCATGCCGCACCAACCCCATGCCGCACCAACCCCATGCCGCACCAACCCCCATGCCGCACCAACCCCATGCCGCACCAACCCCATGCCGCACCAACCCCATGCCGCACCAACCCCATGCCGCACCAACCCCATGCCGCACCAACCCCATGCCGCACCAACCCCATGCCGCACCAACCCCATGCCGCACCAACCCCATGCCGCACCAACCCCCATGCCGCACCAACCCCCATGCCGCACCAACCCCCATGCCGCACCAACCCCCATGCCGCACCAACCCCCATGCCGCACCAACCCCCATGCCGCACCAACCCCCATGCCGCACCAACCCCCATGCCGCACCAACCCCCATGCCGCACCAACCCCCATGCCGCACCAACCCCCATGCCGCACCAACCCCCATGCCGCACCAACCCCCATGCCGCACCAACCCCCATGCCGCACCAACCCCATGCCGCACCAACCCCATGCCGCACCAACCCCCATGCCGCACCAACCCCATGCCGCACCAACCCCCATGCCGCACCAACCCCCATGCCGCACCAACCCCCATGCCGCACCAACCCCCATGCCGCACCAACCCCCATGCCGCACCAACCCCCATGCCGCACCAACCCCCATGCCGCACCAACCCCCATGCCGCACCAACCCCCATGCCGCACCAACCCCCATGCCGCACCAACCCCCATGCCGCACCAACCCCCATGCCGCACCAACCCCCATGCCGCACCAACCCCCATGCCGCACCAACCCCCATGCCGCACCAACCCCCATGCCGCACCAACCCCCATGCCGCACCAACCCCCATGCCGCACCAACCCCCATGCCGCACCAACCCCCATGCCGCACCAACCCCCATGCCGCACCAACCCCCATGCCGCACCAACCCCCATGCCGCACCAACCCCCATGCCGCACCCATCGCCATCCCACCCCACCCCTATCCCACACCTACCCCCATGGTGCCATCGGGGCGGCGCACGTGGCGCCAGCGAATGAGGTTCTGCGGGCCGCCCTCCTCGTATGTGTCTGGGTCGAATGGGGCCGCCTGGATGCCCACTATGTTGCTCGCCATCACCATCACCATCTGGCACGGGGTGGAGAGCGGTGAGGTGAGGAGGGGCAGAGAGAGACTGGTAATGAGGGTCGAAGAGTGCAGGGGAGGAGCAGGAAAGGGTGCCCTCCTCCTCGTACGTGTCGGGGTCCAACGGGGCTGCCTGGATGCCCACTATGTTGCTCGCCATCACCATCACCATCTGGTAAGGGATGGGTGAGGGGTGGAGAGGGGTGGAGAGGGGTGGAGAGGGGTGGAGAGGGGTGGAGAGGAGCAGAAAGGGGCCATGAAGGGCACCCTCCTCGTACCGGTCGGGGTCAAAGGGGGCTGCTTGGATGCCCACTGAGTTGCTCGCCATCACCAACACCATCTGGCGAACCCTAAGGGGTAAAGAGGGATAGACAGGGTAGATTGGGGTAAAGAGGGATAGACAGGGTAGATTGGGGTAAAGAGGGATAGACAGGGTAGATTGGGGTGGAGAGGGGCAGAAAGGCGCCATGAGGGTCAACGGCCGCCCTCCTCATAGGTGCAGAGGGTTGAAAGGCGCTGCCTGGATGCCCACAAACAATGTTGCTCTCCATCATTATCACCATCTGGCATGGGGTGGGAAAGGAACGGTGAGGGGCGGAGAGAAGCAGAGAGGGGCAATGAGGGTCAAAGGGGGCCGCCTGGATACCCACAATATTGCTCGCCATCACCATCGCCATCACCATCTGGAGTTGAGAGGGGAAGGGCAATGAGGGGCAGAGAGAGGCAATGACAGTCGAAGGTCGCTGCCCAGATGCCCTAGGTTTGCTCGCCATCACAATCACCATCTACCAAGGGAGCGGAGAGACGCAAGGACGGGCAGAGGGATAGAAGATGGCGGACAGTGTGAGATGAGGGGAGAACAACACTACAACGGGGGTGGCGTTGTGGAGCGACAAATGTGGATGCATGCATACACACGACTAGGTGGGACGGACGCATGGATTGGTGACCTTGTGCGGCACAACACACCTTATCAGGTGGAGAGGGGGGGTCGAAGAGAGCGAGATCGAGATCCAAGGGAGGCCCCTTGGGTGGCAACGAACGAGGGTGAACACACACACACACGCACACACACACACACGCACACACACACACACACACGCACGCACACACACACACACACGCACGCACACACACACACACACACACGCACACGCGCGCGCGCGCGCGCGCGCACACACACACACACACACACACGCGCGCGCGCGCGCGCGCACACACACGTACGTGACCTGGCCATCACCTTGCGAGGAGCAACCAGCAACCCACCTTGTCGGGTGGAGCAGGGGGGTCGAAGAGCGCGAGATCGAGCTCCAAAGGAGGCCCTTTGGGTCGCTCCCTTGCCCTCCGCCGCTCCCCCCCCTCCTCATCCCACCGCCCCTCCTCGTCATAGCCGCCCCTCTCGTGCCTGTGCTCCTCCTCCGACTCATAACCATGTCGCTGCTGATTGAGATGAAGGGAGGGAGGGGAAGGGGGAGACAAGGGGGAAACTTGAGACGTCTCAAAACTCACCCCACCGCCCCTCCTCGTCATAGCCGCCCCTTTCGTACCTCGGTTCCTCCTCCGACTCATACCCATGTCTTTGCTGAGAGAGACGAGGGAGGAGGGGGAGGCAGGGGGAAACGAGGGGGGAAAGTGGGGGATGGCAGGAGGAGCAGAGAAGGCATGTGAGGATGCAGTGGCAAAGTGTGGATCGGCGTGCGTGCGTGTGCTGCAGGGTGAAAACTTAGAAGCACAGCAACTTAGAAGCACAGCAACTTAGAAGCACAGCAACTTAGAAGCACAGCAACTTAGAAGCACAGCAAATTAGAAGCTCAGCAACTTAGAAGCACAGCAACTTAGAAGCACAGCAACTTAGAAGCACAGCAACTTAGAAGCACAGCAACTTAGAAGCACAGCACCAGCTTTTGAAGCATCTCGAGAATAGCTTCCATCCCAGCGAAACAAGAGGAGGAGAACCTTACAGGGGACGCAGGGGTGTGCCTTGAGGCGAGCGGGTCGCCTTCCTCTGTGCTGCCTGCCCGTCTCTTCCCGCCTCCCTCCACTCTTGAGTCGACTCAAAAGATACTAGCGAGGCAAGAGGAGGAGAACCTTACAGGGGACGCCAGGGGAGTGCCTTGGGGCGAGCGGCCGGCCTTCCTCTGCTTCCTGCCCGCATCCCCCTCCTCCTCGTCCTCCTTGTCGCTGGACTCCCCAAACAGGTCTCTCTCCGTCACCTGCTGCCTTTTGAGTCGACTCAAATGTCAACTCTCTCCGTCACCTGCTGCCGCACCTTGCGCCCATCCCCCGCAAGGCAAGAGGGGGAGGAACTTACAGGGGATGCAAGGGGAGTGCCTTGGGGGGAGCGGCTCGCCTTCCTCTGCTTCCTGCCCGCATCCCCCTCCTCGTCCTCCTCTTCACTGGACTCCCCAAACAGGTCTCTCTCTGTCACCTGCGCCCGCACCTTGCGCCCATCCCCACCCCCCTCCTCGCCCTCCCCCCCACCCCCCTCGCTGTCTCTGTGTCGCCCTTTGCCTGTTTCCCTGCGGCTGCGGCACAGCAGCACAGCGACACAGCAGCACAGCAGCACGTGAGAATGGGGGGCGAGGGCAGGTGGGGGAGAGGGTGGCACGTGGCGAGGCGTGCCAGGGCATGGGAAGGAAGGACCAGTCAACTCGAGGGATTGAGAGGATTTGAGAGGGGTTGAGAGACATAGTGCAGGATTGAGTGCGGCTGAGAGGCATTAAGAAAAGCATTAAGAAACGCCTAGTAGAGTGTTCCTTGGTGCTACGCCACGCCCTGACGGGCAATAGCCCTGACGGGCAATACCCCTGCAGCCCATTGGTACGCCCCTGCATGCCGTAGCCGTAGCTTCAGCAGGCCATGCGACGTGATGTGACGACACAAGCAGCGCAAAGGGGGGGGTGAGATGCGCGCAGGCAGGGGGGAAAGACGAGCAGAACGATGAGGAGGGGAAACGCGGATGGGATGGGGAAGGGGGGCAGTGGGCGGGGATTAGAAGTGGGCGGGGATTAGAAGTGGGCGGGGATTAGAAGTGGGCGGGGATTAGAAGGGGGCGGGGATTAGAAGGGGGCGGGGGGCGGGCGTGGAATGGTGGAGGGGGCAGAGGCAGGGGGAGGGGGAGGGCGGGAGAGAGGAGCAGAGGGGAAAAGGAAGGGGAGGATGGGACGAACGGTGGGAACCAAGGTGGGAAGCAGGGAGGAAAGAAAGGAGGGAGGAAGGGGGGAAAGCAGGGCGGGAAAATGAGAGGAAAAGAAGGGATGGAAAAAAACAGGAAGAGAATTGGGGGATTCGAGAAGGAGGAAGGGAGGAGAGAGAGGTTGTGAGGAAAGGAAGAAAGATCCTTCACCTGGGAGATTCTTCACCTGGGAGATTCTTCACCTGGGAGATTCTTCACCTGGGAGATCCTTCACCTGGGAGATTCTTCACCTGGGAGATCCTTCACCTGGGAGATTCTTCACCTGGGAGATCCTTCACCTGGGAGATTCTTCACCTGGGAGATTCTTCACCTGGGAGATTCTTCACCTGGGAGATTCTTCACCTGGGAGATTCTTCACCTGGGAGATTCTTCACCTGGGAGATTCTTCACCTGGGAAATTCTTCACCTGGGAGATCCTTCACCTGGGAGATCCTTCACCTGGGAGAGTGAGGGGAGTGGCGATGCTTCGGGGACCTCGGGCTCCTGCCCCTTTCCTCCTGTCTCTCCTCAAACTCCTCCTCCTCATCCTCCATTGCCCCTTGCCTTCCCCCAAACCCGCCTCTCCTCCGCCCACTGCCCTCCCCATCCCCTTCCCCATCCTCCTCATCATCATCGTCAATCACCTGTCGCCCCCCTCGTCGCCGCTGTGCCTGGCCCCGCGCGCGCTCCCCCTCCCGCTCCCGCTTCCCATCCCCTTCCTCGTCGCTCCCCTTCCTACTCCCCCCCCTGCCTTCCCGCCCGCTTCCGCCGTTCATCTCGTCTCTTCTCCCTTCCGCTCTTCCCTCCCCCCTCTCCCCTCCTCGGCGGTCGTTCCAGTCGTCACCAGAGCCGCTTCCTCGCCTGCCACGTGGCTGCGTATTTATGGCGGGAAGAAGAAAAACTCGATAAGAACTCGTGTCAGGATTCTCGTTCTCCCATCGGATAAGATACGAACGGGAAACCAAGTAAACTCGACGCCACTGCGAAAGGCATGAGCTTTAAGTTGCGAGAGTGAAAGGATGTCAGTCATATTGAGCGAGGTGAAAAGGTTTCGCTGGGCGACGGCCGTGGCGCGAATCATCGCCTACCTCATCCTTCGCACTCGCGTCGCTGCCCGAGCGACTCAAGCTGCGACGTTGGCGATCGTCGCCAGAGCGCCCAGGGCTGCCCTTTTCGTCGCCCGAGCCGTCCGAGTCGGCCCCGAAGAGCGACTCCATCACGTCATCGCGCCGCTCCGCAATGATGGCTTTAACTGACAGGCTTGCGGCAGGTGAAGCAGTTCACAAACACTGAGTGTGCTTGAGGAGTAATCCGATCTAGGTTAGCGAATTTTCCCCGTAACACCCTAGCTTGCTTATGTAAAAAATCAGGGCTGGGTGCTTATAGAGGCTAGAAATAGCAGCAAAGCCATGCGCGACAAATTTTCGCGAGTTATGCGACAGCGCCGACACGCGAGCATGAAAAATGGCTGTTGACTGGCGTCAGCGTGACGTGGAGGTGACAGGAAGGAGCAGGTGAAGAAAGCGAGCTGCTGTGATAGCCAGCTACTAGGCGCGAGCGATTCCAGATTCTTGAATGGTGGTTGTCTGTCTGATCTGATGAGAATCAGTGGTGCGTTGCGGTTGGACTGGGTGAGAGTAACTCGCTATAACATTTCACAGCGTATTCGAAACATACATATGGACGTGCTGGCTGGAATGGAATCAGTTGTTCTCTAAGGGCGTGTGTGATCTTTGAAATTTGTAGAAGTACCTCATCAGGGCAGCAGCATCTGAACTTTGGCCGAACGAAAGTTTGACTTCTCTTGTAGCGAAGTTCGAGCCGCCATTCTCCAACTCAGTAAAATGGCAATCACACACACAAGGTCGAACACCGCAATTCGCGCTCGGCCGCGCGTCGGGACTGTTGGCTACCCCGTACAATCGTCATCGAATGTTTTCGTAGCGCCACTTCCAGCTTCACGAAGCAGTCGCATATTTCGCCTGCCAATCGTACGTACAGTGAACAACATACGCTCGCTTCAACGTGTACACACACGTCCACAACTCCGACTCGAGTCAGGTTTACATTTCACATTCGCACTTATGTGCGCCAAAAATGCCTTCGCCAGAAGATCTCAGCGAAAATGACGAAACAAGTAACCACCCGAGTCCGACCGTTTTCCACAACTTTAAAAAATATCACACGCGCCCTAACCAGAAACCGCCTAGACGTGTACCGCGCCCTGGAACGAACATGGTTTGGCGATCCGCCCTGTTCAGGTATCTTTTCCATACTTCAGCATCGCTAGTATCCTAGGTTCACAACCTTTCAATCCTACTGGCACATACCTTGGTTCCTATGGCCATCACGAGCCGAATACAGTTTCCTGCTCTCCAGACCTCGGTTGCCGCGCTCGCAATTCTTTCCCCGCGATGGGCCGCATCCGATATTGTTTCAAGCGACCGATTCTTTTCCGCATCGGCGTCGCCAGCTGCTGACCAATCACCAAGATCGACGGCTGCCGTGGATCCGTCAGTAGAATCCGCGGCAGCGGCGGAGGAGGCGGGAGGCTGGCGAAGCCACGCGGAGGCGTGCAGTCGATCGCTCCGGCTGCACGTAGCTCCTGCGAAAAAGAACCTTCTGGGAGTTTTCCAAGAGTGCCAGACGGCGGAGGAGGCCGAAGCTTCCTTGCAGATGCTGGCGCGAACGAGGCTTGAGGTGCGCGGGGGCGAGGCTTGAGGTGCGCGGGGACGGGGCTTGAGGTGCGCGGGGACGGGGCTTGAGGTGCGCGGGGACGACAGGGAAAGAGGAGTGAGCGCTCGTGAGGGAAGGGGTGAGGGGGGAGGAAGGTTGGAAAGATGATGGGGGGAGAAGGGGGAGATGAGAGAAGATAAGTGGACTGTGCACAAGCTGACAGGTTCTTCATGGTTACTTTTTGAGTCGACTCGAAAGTCATCTCGAGATGAGAGAAGATAAGTGGACTCTGCACAAGCTGACAAGTTCTCCATGGTTTCGTGTATTCCCGCCGTCCTTTAACCATCTGTCCATTTCCTGTCCCTACATATCCCTACCAACATCGCTACACATTGTTACAGAACGCAGCGTATCGCAAGCAGACGGCGAACTTCAACGACGAGGTCTCGCTGGCCGTCGTGAGAGCATGCATCCGAGCAGGCGTGCCGCAGAAAGGTGAGCTCGCTGTACATTCTTTTGAACTCTCTAATCTTAATGCACCCCACTTTCCCCAATGCATCCGAGCAGGCATGCCGCAGAAAGGTGAGTTTAAGTTGCAGGCTTTCAGTCCACAAGCTCCAAACACCGCTAGCTCCAAACTTAGGTGCTTCAACTCAACGAGCCTAAGATTTACGAGCTTCGAACCCTACAACAAGCTTTACTTTCATGCTGAACTTGCATAATTGCTATTCCTTCTTTTCTTGCAGCTGCCTATGGTGCTTGCATTGACTCCAGTTTGGGGTATCCTTCTTGCTGTCACGACATGGGTTGTGGCATCCCAACGTCATTTCTGCGTCCCAACTCCTTCCTTCTTCACTCCTTCCTTCTTCACTCCTTCCTTCTTCACTCCTTCCTTCTTCACTCCTTCCTTCACCACCTGGCTGGCAGCTTTGGTTGCCATTTCCCCGACCAATCCGTTTGGCTTGACGCCATTGCTGGGAGCTGCACATCTGATCATGGTACGTACGCGTCCCTGCCATTATGGCGTCCAGCCCAGTCAATTGAGATTGCAAATGGATACTCAAGTCAAAGCGACTTTTGAGTCGATTCAAAAGTCAACTGAGCTGCACATCTGATTATGGTATGCATCCACCAAATCGAGATTGCAAATGGATACTCAACTCAAACTTACCATACGAAGACATACCATCAAATTTCCAAGGGCTCATGTCACACAAGTGTTTTGATATCCATACAACAGTTGTGAAGGCCTATTCTCCTTGTCTTGTTGTCTCCGCTGCAGAAACATGCTGCGTCAGCCAAGGACAACTCTCTCTTGCTGTCGGCTTATAGTCGAATGGGAAAGGCGAAAATTCATCCGTCAGCCACCACCGCGGATATTGTCATCGGGTAAACATATCCTATATTTTGTTATAGTAAAGCCAGCAGTGGCTGGTGCATGGTGCACACCTAGCATCATTGTTTCCACACCTGACTCAAAATTGCACCTTGGGTTGTGAATCGCCTTGTTGCAGTGCTTTACTTGCCCAAGGGGAGGATGTCCTGGCATCTGAACTTGCTGACAGCTTTCAACAAAAAGGGGTTTCTCTGAAGAGGGAAGTAGCAAGGAAACTTCAAGAGGCAGTTCCTTTGTTGTAATGGGCCAGGATGTGGACTAGTAGTAAGCAGGGCTTACTCTGAAGGCTCATTGGCCAGAATCTGGGGACTCTGATTTCTCAGTGTTCCCGAGTGAGCAACTCTGAGCATTCAGGGTCGGCTAATAGGCATCAGAGTACAGAACGTAGTGCATTTTGTTTTCACAATGGCCAATGCTATGTCACACCACACTTTTCTTGCGCTGACATTATACCTGTAATCAACCCTGTGCTGATCATGTAAGGGCACTTTATTCATTGTAAAAATTCATTTGTTGCTGAGTCAATCCTAAACACTCTTCATTATCAAATTACGTTCTCAGCATTCTCAAAAAGAAAAGTCGCCTGTCTTTCTACACTTTGTAGAGTCGAGGAGAAGGCGTGATATTACCGAGCTTATCGAAGTGTATTGTGAAGAGGGGTAGGGACAAAAGTGCTTGTACGGAAGTCTGAGCACAGAAGGGAAGCGGGGCAAGGCGACGAGACGACAAACAGCTGTGCAGCGCTGCGCCGCACAGTAGCGCATAGATACACCTGCTCCTGCACAGCACACTCTCCCCTGCCTACCACCATCCCCACTACGTGGCTGCTGGCTAGCCACACAGCACGGGCGCAAGCATTTCCAGACATGAAGCAACGCCGAGGACATAGTAGTATAGAAGACTAATAGTTCTTGCCAAAATTATTTAATTTAAAACGACTCCTAGCATGTACGGCGTTAGAGGTGCGGAGGAGCAAGTGATGCTCATTAGGGCACGAAGGGGCGCATGCTGGGGGAAGAAGGGGTGGGGGAAGGAGGGCGCGATAGGATGAGCAGCAGCGGCGGCAGCGGGATCTTGGACGCGCGAGTCAACGCCGTCCCTTCCCCGCCGCTCTTCGCCGCTCCTTCCTCGCTTTTCGACCGTAATCGCGCGATGATGACGTCAGACGCCATGACGTCACACCGCAACTCGATGACGTCAGGCCGCAAAACCGTATCGCCGGGGCATAAACCCGTGGTAGCATGGCGCGGGGAAGCGGAGCCGGCAGGGGCGCGCGGCGACGATAGCGCGATGGCGATGGGGGATGATTGCTTTTTAAAGCCGTATTACCCTCCTCCCGGCACTCGCCCCTCTCGCATCCCCAATGGCGACTCTCGTACCGGCCAAAGCGATAGCGCCGCCTTCTCTCGCAGTCGCTCCAGCTCCCCCTCCCCTTCGCACTCCGAACCCTCCTCCGCCCATGCCTCGCCCGCCCCCGCGCGCCCGCCGTCCGCCCACAGGAGCGCGACGGCTGCCCCGCCGCGGCCCGTCTCGCCTCTGCCCCCGCATGCTGTGCGGCGCAGACCCGGCGCAGAGGGGCGCGCGGATGGGCGCGCGGGGGTAGGGGCGGAGCTGCGGGAGGGCAGTCCGAGGCGGGAAGTCGCGCAGATGGGCGCCCTCGCGCCTGTCGTGCGCGATGGAGCCGGCGGAGGCGGGGAAAAGGGGGGGGCGGAGATGGTAAGGGCAGGGGGAGAGGGCGCGAGGGAGGGGGGCGTGGCGCGCGGCAGCAGCAGGCCCCGGCGCGTGAGAGCGGCCAGCAGTGGCGACGCCGTCAACGCGGGCGCAGCCAGCGCGGGCGCGGTGTCGGAACCAAACACAGCAACAGCGGAAGCGACACACACAGCTGACGCGCAAACAGCAGCAGCGCTGACGCGGAGATTCCCCACGGCCCCTCCCGCAGTCGGTTCCGCCAAGCCGGGTGCGCTAGTGAGCGGCGGCGGCGAGGGGGGCGCGAGTGCACCTGCGCCTGGGGGGGCGTGGCCGGGCGAAATGGTGGGGGATGGGGGAAGACGGGGGGAAGCGGGGGAGCAGATGCGGTTAGGGGCGAGGCCGGGCAGTGGCAGGGCGGGGATGAGGCGGCTGGGGTGGGGCAGGCGGGCGCGCACATGGGCGCGGGAGTGGGAGGGGGTAGGGGAGCGCAGAGGCCTGTGACTGCCGGCGGCAGGCTGGCAGTGGCGGGCGCGAGCAGCGGAGGCGGTGAGGGCAGCGAGGCAGCGGGCGGCGGGGCGGGGCTAGGCGATGGGGGGAGCTGGAAGGTGCGCCAGACACACGCGCATCAAGGGGTGGGGCAGCAGGGGATGGGGCATCAGGGGGTGGGGCAGCAGGGGTTGGGGCAGCAGGGGGTGGGGCAGCAGGGGTTGGGGCAGCAGGGGGTGGGGCAGCAGGGGGTGGGGCAGCAGGGGTTGGGGCAGCAGGGGGTGGGGCAGCAGGGGTTGGGGCAGCAGGGGGTGGGGCAGCAGGGGTTGGGGCAGCAGGGGGTGGGGCAGCAGGGGTTGGGGCAGCAGGGGTTGGGGCAGCTGCAGGGCAGTGCAGGAGGGAAGAGTGTGGCGGGGCAAGAGCGGCAGAGGGGGGAGGGGCGGCATGTTCGGCAGGCGAGTCTGCAAGTGGAGGCAGTGCAGCGCCTGCATGGCAGCAAGGGCTCCGCCTCTCCCCCCCATGCTGCCGCCATGCCCCTGCCCCGCCGCCCCCACACCGCCCTCGCCCGCTCCCCCTCGCCCTCCCCCTTTCCTCCGCCCTCCACTGCTACGCCGCCTGACGCGCGTTCCTCCTCGTCCCGCTCCGCCACCTCCTCCCCTTCCCCCCCTGCCCGCCCCCAGCCCCCTCCACCCCAAGGGGACCGCCCTTCCCGCGGCCTCTCTCAGTCCCCCCCGCGTGCTGCGCCCCCCCCGCCCCTGCACGCGGCAGCAAGTGCGGAAGCAGGGGAGGGCAGCGAGAGCGAGACTGTGGGGTCCGCCAGAGCGGGGGAGAGGGGCGAAAGCAGTGTACGGGCAAGCAAGGCGAGTGTGGCGGGGCGGCGGAAAGGAGTGATGGGCGTGGAGCGAGGGAGCATGGGAATGGAACGAGTGCCAATGGGAGTGGAGAGAATTGTTTTGCGCGCTGAGGCAGGGGGGGCGATGGCGGGAGCAGATGGAGGGGCGGCTGGTCAACGAGGCATGCCTGACGTGGCGCACAGTTCCCTGCGCCAGAAGCCGCTGCATGGTCCAGTCAGCGCTGACGTGGCAGCAGCAGGGGCAGCAGGTGCGAGCTCCCCTTGGGAGTCAGGAAAACGTGGCGACAGTGAGAGATTGGGTACAGGGAATGGAGAGGGAGGAGTTACTGCGGAGGGCAGGAGAGTCCGTGCAGGTGGGCAGAGCAGCAAAGGCAGCAGCAGCAGCAGTGATCTCGTGGCTCGAGCAGGCGGCAACGGACGGCTGCGATCGAGTGTGAGCTTCGGGCAGGCCAGTGCGTGCGATCTGCGCTCCGCCGCTGCTGCCACGACTGCTGCCAGTGGCACCAGCACTGGCAGTAGCACCGGCAGCACGGAGGGCAGCGGCGGGCGATGCGGGGAAGGGGAGGGGGCGGACGGTGCAGGGCGCAGGGCAGACATGGGGGAGGGAAGCATGGCGGGCGGGGCGGAGGGCTATGCAAGGGGAGGGGCGGGGCGGCGGTTGACCCGCGCACTGAGCGCCATGGAGGGGCGCGGGCATGCGCCTTGGGGGCGCGGGGCAGGGGCGGGGGGAGGCGGTGGAGGGGTTGGTGGTAGTGCGGAAGAGGGCTCTAAGGGACTGAGTGAAGGGGAGAACGCAAGTGGTGGGGTGGGGAGGCGTGAGGGGGAGAGAGGGCGTGCAGAGCAGGTCGGGGTAAAGGAAGGCACAGAGGTGGAGGGGATGGGAGGGGTGGGTGCAGGTGGCATAAGCAGGGTTGATGGCAGGGGAAGGCAGGGGCGAGAAGGAGCAGTGGTGGCCGCAGGTGGGGAAGGGGGAGTAGCAGCAGGGGTGGTGAGAGAGGAGACACAAGCAGGTGCCTCTGTAGCTGTTGCCTTCGCCCCTTCCCCTGGTAGTGAGTCGGGGAGGGGAAGGGGCGTTCAGATGGGTGGAGAGAGGTGGACAGCGGCACAGAGGGCTGCAGCTAGGGACATGAAGTGGGAGAGGGAGCGGGAGAGGGACAGCGGCAGGGGCAGAGCAACGCGCGGGAGAGAGAGAAACCGGTCGAATCCTGCCACTCCCACGGGCACCTCTCGCACGCCGCGAGGGGCCGTGGAGGGTGGGGGGACGCCAAGGGGTGTGGCGGAGGGAGGAGGCGGTGCTGTGGGTGAAGGGGCGGAGGGAGGGGGCGGGTCAGGGGAAGAGAAAGCGAGCCGTGCACGTGCAAGGCGGGGCAGGAAGGGTGCGGGCGAGGGGGGGTTGAGGCGAGGGGAGGCTGGTGATGAGGGCGAGAGGAGTGGCGTGGCGAGTGATGGCGCGGTGGAGGGGGCGAGTGTGAGGCAGCAGAGGGGCTTAGAGGACGGGCGGAGAGGGAGAGAGGGAGATCGAAGGGGCGGGGAGAGCAGTGCAAGTGGTGAGGTTGGGAGGGAGAGGGAGGGGAGAGAAGCGGCAGAAGTAGGGGTGGTGGGGCTAGAGGGGGGAGGGTCAGGGGGCATGGCGGGATTGGCCTCATCTGGCAAGGGGCCGTCACAACGACGGATGCAGCAGCACGCGCAGCAGACAGAGCAACTGCAACAGCAGCCGCCGCCGCCGCCGCAGCAGCAGCAGCAGCAGCAGCAGCAGCAGCAGCAGAGGGAGAGGGAAGGGCAGGGGTGGCAGCATGGCAAGGCAGTGCAGGGGGAGGCAGAGACTGGGGGCGGTGGGAGAGGGGGCAGCACACAGGTGGGCGAGGTGGAGGTGAGTGCCGTGGGTGGGGCAGGCGGGGTGGGTGGGGCAGGCGGGGTGGGTGGGGCAGGCGGGGTGGGTGGGGCAGGCGGGGTGGGTGGGGCAGGCGGGGTGGGTGGGGCAGGCGGGGTGGGTGGGGCAGGCGGGGTGGGTGGGGCAGGCGGGGTGGGTGGGGCAGGCGGGGTGGGTGGGGCAGGCGGGGTGGGTGGGGCAGGCGGGGTGAGAGGGCGGCGAGGGGAGGTGGTGACAAGCCGGCCGTGGCACGCGCGTGTGGGGGAGGGGAGGGGTGGGCGCGCATGGGACGAGTCAGCAGCCATCGGGGCGCCTGTCACGCTGCTTGCTACGGTGGGCAGCGGCACCAGGGCAGAAGTGACAGCACGGGCAGTGGCATTCACTGGGGTTGCTGCTGGGGTAGGTGGAGGCGGGGGTGCCTGTGAGCCCATGCCACTGACGCCGCCTGTCCTCTCCTTCACGGAGCAGCGGCTGATGGCAGCCCGCCACGGCGCAGCAGCCAGTGCAGCATTGGGAGCAGCAGGGGGTGCAGCAGGGGGAGCAACAGCAGCAGCAGCAGCAGCAGTGGGGGGCGGCAGGAGGGGGGCGAGGGCGATGGTGAAGAGCATGTCCATGTCCGCCGCTGACCTGCATCTCGTGCCCTCGCCCCATGCCACTCCGCCTCCTGATTCTTCTGTCGGAAAGATTGGTGTGGGCATGGCCGTGGGCACGGGCATGGGCACGGGCATGGGCATGGCAGCAGGAGCAGGAGCAGTCTCGCGCTCCATGGGCATCTCTCGCACATCCTCCTCTGGTCGCCCCGCCTTCCCACATTCTGCTTCTGCTTCTGCTTCTGCTGGGGCTGCTACGGCTGCTGGTGTCCCAGCAGACAGTGCGCCCGCGCACCCACCAGCCATGCACCCACCAGCCATGCACCCACCAGCCATGCACCCACCAGCCATGCACCCACCAGCCATGCACCCACCAGCCATGCACCCACCAGCCATGCACCCACCAGCCATGCACCCACCAGCCATGCGCCCCACGCATCCCAGCCATCTTGGGTCTGCTACTGACCCCGCATCAGCCGCCATGTTCGTCGGTATGGGCCTCCCCGCTGCGGGTGGCGCTGATACCTCTGAGCGCCTGTTGCGCCTCACAGCGCGGTGGAGCGAGGTGCAAAACGGTGGCGGCGTGGGGCGGCCGGGTGCAGGTGTGCACACGGACACGCCAAGGCTGGGCAGCGGCGTGGGGGGGTCCATGGACCTGCGGCGAGCAGCCTTCAGTGCGAGCATGGGCGCAGGCATGGGCATGGGCATGGGCATGGGCATGGGCGCAGGCATGGGCGCAGGAGGAGGGAAGGTGGGGGGTTCCATCCCAGCGTGTTCAAGTGCAGAGGCGGATGTGCCAGCCTGGACAGCTCCCCAGGGGGGCAGAGGGGGCGCACAAGCAGGTGGAGCTGCAGCAGCAGATGCGGGTGCAGCAGCAGGGGGGGGCGCAGCAGGGGCGAGTGGCAGTGCAGGTGCAAGAGGTGGTGGGGCGGGCAGGCGGGCCGGAGGAGGCAGTGTGAGCGGCCGGTCTGAGCTGGGTGGTGACACGGGGCTCTCCCGTGCTGGCTCGGGTGTCGCGAAACCAACAGCATCTGCTGCTGCTGCTGCACTGCGGCGCCATGGCAGCATGTCTCTGCACCAGCAGCTGGTGGCTCCTCTTGTGGGCACGTGGCAGGACCAGGCCGTGCAAGGCAAGCAGCTCAAGGCGAAAAGTGCCACAGCCACTGCCACTGCCACTGCCGCCGCTGCTGGTGGTGGTGGTGCTGCTGCTGCTGCAGCTGCTGAGGCAGTTGTTGCCACTGCTGCCAGCAGTGGTAGTTCTGCGAGTGCAGTGACACCAGCGAGTGGGGGCACGTTGCAGGAGAAAGCGGTGAGAGCTTTGGCGAGGGCGCACACGACAGCAGCTCGCAGCACACTGCGCACGCCTCCCTCTGCTGCACTCTTTGATTCGCACAGCTTCAGCAGCCGCGCCCCACCCCCTTCCAACCCCACAGGCGGTGCCACCACCACAGGCGGTGCCACCACCACAGGCGCTGCTACCAGCACAAGCATTGGCAGCAGCAGCACAGCGAGCAGCAGTGGCATGGTGAGTGGCAGCACAGCGAGCAGCAGCAGCGGCGGGGTGAGCAGCAGCAGAAGGCTGAGCGTGAGCAGCTCGTCGAGTGCCATCAGCACTGGCTGCAGTGCCACGCTCACCGGCAGAATGCTCACCAGCAACTCCTTCACCACCACCACCACTAGCACCCTTTCCACTAGCGACACCTTTTCCTCCAACACCACCGGTGGTGGCAGTGCGAGCAGCAGCAGCAGCAGGGGCTTTCATCGAGCCGCCACTCTCAACGCGCGCTCCCTGGGCCTCTCCCTCAACGCGCCTGCCATGCCTGCCCTCTCTGCCCTGCCTGCGCCTCACATGCCTGCGGCGCCCGCCCTCCCTGCCGCAGCTGCTGCTGTGCCAGGCACTGGTAGTACTCGGCATGAGCTCGCCCGCAGTGCCAGCAGCAGCGCTGCTCGGCTTAGGGGCGCGGCGGTAGGGGGAGGGGTGAGAAGCGGTGGAGAGAGAGCGTTGAGGAGTGATGGTGGGCGGGAACAGGGCAGCGGAGGGAGAGAGGGGAGTGGAGGAGCAAGAGAGGGAAGTGGAAGAGGGAGAGAGGAGAGTGGAGGAGGAGGGAGAGAGGGAGGAGGAGGAGGGATAGAGGGAAGTGGAGGCGCAAGAGAGTGGAGCAGAGGAAGGAGAGAGGGTAGCAGAGGAAGGAGAGAGGGGAGTGGAGGAGGAAGAGAGGGGAGTGGAGGAGGAAGAGAGGGCAGTGGAGGAGGAAGAGAGGGGAGTGGAGGAGACGTAGGGTGGGCAGAAGCAGCAGCAGCAGTGGCATTTGGGGCAGCAGCAAGTGCTGCAGCAGCAAGTGGGGCAGCAGCAAGTGGATCAATAGCAGGGAGGTCAGCTGCAAGGGCGAAAGCGATGAGGGAAACAGCAGCAGGGGGAACGACAGGGAAGGGAGCGGAAGCAAGGGCAGCAGGAGGAGGGGAAGCGGCAGCAAGGGGAGCAGGAGCAGCAGGAGCAGCTGGAGCAGCAGCAGCAGAAGCAGGAGCAGCAGCAGCAGCAGCAGCAGGGGCAGCAGCAGGAGCAGGGGCAGCAGGGGCAGCAGCGGCAGGGAGCAGCAGGGGAGGTGGCAGGGTGGCAGGGAGGACACTGCGCAAGATGGCGAGTGACAACTTCCGCTCCTCTGCCCGCCCGTTGGGCAAGGCCTTGGGCGGGCATGGAGGCATGGTGCCTGATGGGGGCATGGCCGTGGATGGAGTGAGCGCAGGGGGCAACAGGGCAGGGAGGCTCTCCTCCACTGCCAGCTCTCTGGACCTCGCCGTGCCCTCTGCTGCTGCTCATGCTCATGCTGCCACAGGCTCTGGTGCTCGCTCGGCTGGTACTGCTGGCATGGGCACGGTGGGTTGGAGGGGGGATGGGCGGAGGCGAGGGGGCAATGAGGGCAGTGGGGAGGAGCGGCGGGAGGAGGATGAGAAGGCGGGGAAAGAGGACGCGGTGACGCCTTCGAAGGCGAGCCGCGAGGACAGTGTGACGCCCAGCCGGCTGTCACGCGCTCGCAGGGCTGTTCTGAGTGCCGCTGGTAAGGAGCGCCGACGCGCTGCTGGGAAGAGCGGTGGGGAAGAAGAGGAGGGGGAGGAGGAGGAAGACGAGGAGGAAGAAGAGGAGGACGAGGAGGAGGGAGAGGAGGAAGAGGAGGGAGGGGATGTGGGAGGGGAGGAGGGAGTGACAGACGCTGAGAGCGAGGAGGATTCGAGCATTCCCGTGGCGGCACAGGCAGTGAGTGCACATCATGGCAGCGCGGAGCAGGCAGGAGCAGAGCAGGGGGGAGCAGAGCAGGGGGGAGCAGCAGCAGGCGGCAAGGGGAAGGCAGGGCTGCTGAGCAAGGCAGCCAAGGGCATGCGCGGGCTGGGCGACCGCATCACGCGGGCGCGGCTGAGGCTGCTGCAGGGCGGGCAGGCGGACGTGCTGGGGCGGGGGTTCTCGGACGTGCGCGTGGAGTATGATGTGGACGGGGGCGAGCAGGTGGGCAGCGGGCAGTTCGGGGTCATCCGCGTGGTGAAGCACCGGGCGAGTGGGGAGCGCCTGGCGTGCAAGTCCATCAGCAAGACGTGCCTCAAGGTCAGTCAGTCGTATACCAATTCACTCTCATCTTCTCTCGTTCCCGTCCCACCTCTCTGTTCCTCCCACTTTGCCATCGCCTCATGTGTTGGCAGTGCGTTTCCGCTCGCGGCCTCTCAGCGCAACTCCCTTTTGTTTTCCTGCGCCGCACCTCACCATAGTCCTTCACCTGCCCGTGTGTTCTCCCCACGCACCACCCCACACCCCACACCCTCCACCCCCCACACCCCACCCCCTGCGGCGTGGGGCAGTCGAGGGCGGATGCGGCGGACATAAGGAGGGAGGTGGCCATTCTGGAGCAGCTAAAGGACCACCCCAACGTTGCCCGCCTCGCTGCTGCCTTTGAAGACCCCAAGGTACCCCTCTCTCCCTCGCCCTGCTCGCCCATGCTCCTGCTTTTTCATTTTCCATTCGCTCCTATGCTCTCCTGCCAGCCCATGCTCCCGTAATCCTCCACCCTGGGAGAACCATCTCTTGAAGTCGACTGTTTCTTGCGACTGATCGTCTGCCCCTCTTTGCTCTTCCCACTCCCTCACTCTCTGCCCCCGTCACTCCCTCACTCTCTGCCCCCGTCACTCCCTCACTCTCTGCCCCCGTCACTCCCTCACTCTCTGCCCCCATCACTCCTCACTCTCCTCCACCCCTGGAACCCGCCCGTGCAAGTCCTTGAGCGTTGTTCCTGTCCTTTCCTATGTCCCCGTCTTCCGCCGCCTCCTCCCACTGCTTGGTGGTTCTGTGGCACAGGTGCGCGTGGGGAAGGAGGTGCATCTGGTGATGTAGCTCTGTGAGGGCGACGAGTTATTTGACTGATTGGCATGTGGGCCCTTGCCAGCCCCTTGAGCATTGTTTCCGCTCTAACCCCGTCCGCCCACTTCCACCCCCCTTCTCCCCCCCCTCTCTCCTGTTTTCCACTATCCCCTCTCCCCCCCTCTCCCGTCCCGTCTCCCCGTCTTCCCCCCTCCCCCCCTCCCTCCCTCCCCCTCTGCCAGGAGGTGCATCTGGTGATGGAGCTGTGTGAGGGCGGGGAGCTCTTCGACCGCCTCAAGGCGAAGCGAGTGTACGAGGAGGGGGAGGCAGCAGCGGTGCTGCGCACGCTGGTGGACGTGCTAAGGCACTGCCACGCCATGGGGGTGGTGCACCGCGACGTCAAGCCCGAGAACATCCTGCTCGTCTCCAAGCACAGCGACACCGATGTCAAAGTCATCGACTTCGGCATCGCCGCCTTCTACAAGCCTTGTGAGCCGCCCTGCCCCACCATGTGATTGCATTGCTGAATTTCAAAGCATCGCCCTTCCCATATGACTGTTATACTTTTTGTATTTCCCCTTTTCCCATCAACTTCTCACCATGCTTTAACCATTCTCGCAACACCCAACACAGCAATGCTCACACCACGGCCTGGACCACTGGCCCACATTTCCTTCTCCTCCATCTTCCGCAATCGCCCGTCTCCCTTGTCCTTTGTTATGTCTCGTACGGTCTCGCTACCCTGCGACCAGTTGACAGCCTGCATCACCCAAGCACAATTGATCGTCTTTCTCTCACCTCATGCCACCGTTCCCCCCTCCACGCATGCATGCTGTTCTCCCCCCAGCGCGGCCGCTGACGGAGTTTGTGGGGTCGCACTACTACATGGCGCCAGAGGTCATCGAGGGCAGCTACGGGCCACCAGCCGACGTGTGGAGCGCAGGAGTGGTGCTGTACGTGCTGCTGTCGGGGGTGCCGCCGTTCTGGGCGCGCTCGGAGGACGGCATCATGCAGGCCATCCTTGACTGCCGCCTGCGCTTCAAGCCCGAGGTTTGGGGCAAGCGCTCTCAGCTCGTGCAGGACCTCATCCGCCGCATGCTCACACGGGATCCCGACCTCCGCATCACCCCAGCTGGCGTTCTCGGTACGCCCTGTCCCTTTTCCCGCACCCTGCCCTGCAAGCTGTGCTCTCTTTCAGTGATTCCCAATGGTGTTGTGATGGTTGTTCAAATCTGTTCTGAGGCACCTTGGAGTATTGTTCTGGATTGCCATGCCATGCTCTTTTGCATGTACTTTTCCATGCAGCTCATCCGTGGATGGCATCGGTAGCAGATGAGACGCAGCTGCAGTAACTACTGTAGCAATGACAGCGATGCAGCAGTGCTTGTTGAGAAGTGTTGTGGAAGCAACAAGTGCTTCAACATCCCTCACCCCTCACTATCACTTGTATTGTGCTCCCACCACAATGTCTATAGTTTGTGTTTCTTACGCTTTGTATTTGCCACAAGTGCATTTCTTGATGCCTTCCGTCACCTAGAGCTAGCCTCTTTGCATTAGCATAGAGTTATATGTGTAGGTATAATTTGGCTTGTACGTAGGCACATGTACAATATAGAAAATATGTATTAAATGTGAAGTTATATTTCTATCATTGTTAAATATGTTAGGCTCCACTGAGGTTGTTACTATTGCGTACAACATCTTTACTTGTACCCATTTTCAACACCATTCCGCTACTACTCTGAGATCAAACTCTCAGTCTAAGTTAAAGTAAAATAATTCGGCATGGTTTCAAATACAAAATGTTGGAACTTGGTTGTGGTATTTTATATTGTCCGTTTAGCGTACCCTTGTACAGTTAAGTGGTATACACTGTCATTGCAGTTATTGTTTCACATTGAGTGGTTCTTCTCGCTCTTTCATCAAAGCGAGACGCGAGTCGGTCTAAGCTATATATAATGACATGGCGCCTCAGCTTCAAAGGCCGTCTGCTGGAGAATGTCGACTAGCCCTGCTGGTGATATTGCTAAGGCAGGAGCAACGGTTCAGGGCTGGATCTCTCGCCTGGTGAAGAAGCCAGACATTTCTTCTTCACCAGGCGAAGATCAGACCAGCAACGATCAGGTGGCTAAGTGAGTGCAATCGTTTTCTCGTCCATTCCCCTTTTTCCGTAGTAAATGGCCTGACCATGAGTGTTTGGTCCGGCACAGAACCATCAAGGACCTCCAGGCAGTCAGTATCACTCCTTCCGGAAAGGAAGAGTCGAGAATCAGAGAGCGTGTTCCACGCAAGGCAAGTCATCAATGTCGCTCCTTGAGAACACATTATGAGGACGTAACCGGTTTTGAGACTCCCTAACTGGTTTTGAGATGACGTGCAGATCAATATTCTTGGAGATGCGTATTCAAGTGGACCCTGGAGATGTCTCGACGATTTCATCCAGAGGAAGGAGGTTGCAAAAGGACGGTGCGTGTACATTGTTTTTGTTTTTGGATTTTGTTTTACAGCCATCTGGTATAACCTTTGCTTCGCATGTGCTTACCGTACAGAGGCTGCATAATAGTTTCTGCCATTGCTACCAACGTTTACCAACGAGTTGCTATTAAGGCCTACGAAAGAAGCCAGATCAACGAGGGTACAATTGTTCACATCCGAAGGGAGGCATCTCTTATCAAGGGATTGAGGTAAGGCTACTAGGTCTAATGCACGTCTGGAAAGTTAATTTTCATTGTTCATTAACATCATTGCGTTCAGGCATGAGGCGATCTGCCAGCTTTATGGATCTTTTGAAGATTCGAAGTATGTGTACATTGTGATGGAGCTGTGCTCCCAAGGGGATTTGATGGAGTTTTTAAATGGTCCACGGGGAGTTCGTCGCTTGAATGAGGAGCGAGCTGTACAAACGGTAACACGTTGACTACTTCAGTCATTGTTGAAGAGCTGTTCTTGACTGGAAACTTCTTGCAGGTCTTGCTCCCTCTGTTACAAGCGCTTCAGCTTCTTCATGGAAAAGGAATCGTTCACCGAGACATAAAGCCAGAGAATCTTTTCATGTCCAAGAGTATTGCGAAGCTTGGGGACTTTGGGCTTGCGATCAACCAACGACTGGAGCCACCGATGTCGCAGCTAGGTACTCTGGATTATATGGCCCCAGAAGTCTTCAGAAGGCCGGGGGAAACTAGTGGAAGGAGGCAAGCACTTTACGACGAGAAGGTTGACATATGGTAAGATGCATAGTCTTTAACCAGAGAAATAAGGAAGTATCACTTACACTCCCTTGTTTCTGGTAGGGCATGTGGCGTACTGGCGTATGAAGTCGTAACTGGAGAGCCACCCTTCAATGCTGGCAAGAATGGAAGCCTTACCAAGGATTTGATTCAGAGAGCTGCTGTTCCAATTGCTGGAGTCTGGCCTCATCGTGTTTCACCAGAGCTTGCGGATTTCATCAAGCAGGTAGGAATGGGATGCAATTTTCCTGTTTCATTATGAGCTCAACTCATATACTCCCCGTGAGCAGACTCTTCAGAAGGACCCTCGTCATCGACCATCAGCTGAGGATCTTCTGTCTCACCCTTGGATCTTGAAGCACCTTCCCACGTCCACCGAAGCTGTTAGTCCTCCTATGTCGATCTCCGCTAACACGTCAACCAAGCATCCAGTTCACCATCCATCGCATGTGCCAGCAGTACCAGCGAAGAACATGCTCGCGAAGAGCTGCCCAGATTCTGTCTACTACAGTAAGGCGCCTCAAAAGCAAGCTCCCGCAGTTGGGATCGCGACCGGTGTGCAAGCAGGTTGTGTTGCTGGGTCTGTCAGCAATCAGTCCAAGGCACTTCCGAGCGTGGTTGAAGAAGGGGATGGGTGCCAAGAGTGTGACGATTCTACGATACGTGATGGCCTGACTCCCGTTCCAGAACATCAGCCTCTCCATTCCCTGCCAAAGCTGGAGAAAGACGGGTCATTCGAAAGGATGCTTCATGCCAGCGGTATCAAGGCCAAGACGGGGTATGGCACTACGAAAGTTGTAGCTGATTCAACGACCCCATCATCTCCACAGTCTCCTGGTACCCCAAGCCCTACATTCACGCCAAAAGGAGTGACTGATAAATGGCACACTTTGGAGCATGGCAGTGTCAAGAAGTGAGTTTCTCTACGTCTGTCAGCATGTCCTCTTAGGTCTTCTGATTGCACTCTTAACATTGTTTGCCATTCCAGGTCTCTGTTCTCAAGTGAGATGATGGAGCATGCCAAGCCATACCAGGTGGGAACAGGCCTACTCAGCGATGGTGATATGAAAGCTGAATGGTGCTCCCTCTTGCCATCTTCAATGCGCTGAACAGAACACACCAGTTGTTGGCACAGAGGTCGCCATTCGTCATCCCCACATCTCTAATAAGGCCAGTCACCTAGACTGGTTGAATGGTTGCCACCCCACCATGTCTTACTCAACAATGTGAATAAGGTTGAGCAGCCATTCATTGTGTCAAGATTTATTGTTCCATACGAATAATTTCAATTTCATTTCAAGCATAGTCTATATTCGTTTTCATTCACTATAACTGAAGGCCTAAAGAAAAAACGATATCTTCTTCCAATAGGTGTCTGTTGGGGGTGGGCAACATAGACCATCACTTTTATGTGTGCTGCTACGCGGTTCCTCTATGTTGTGGAATGTTGACCTATAAGTGGTTGTCAATGTTCCGCACCCCCAGCAACACCTTTATAAGTAATTCAAATCACGAAAGACAAGTTGCGAAGTTTTTCTGTATGCTGCTGGGCAGCGCAGCACCAGGCGCGGTCCCAAGGAAGCTTTCCTGATACCAACGACATTCTTTTCAGAAACGAGAAATTTTAGAAATTTCGCTTTTATGCACGAACGTCGCCTGCATGTGGCTGTCCGTGAAAACCGCGAAATTTTAAGCTTCAGACAGGCGCAGCAGCTGAAGGCAATTGCATCAGCGTTTCGTCTTTGAGTGGGAGTAGTACACATCCACATAACGCTCCGCCGCAACTCGACGTCGCCAGAAACATTTCCAGTTGACTCCCTGTTTGTTCACCATTGTCGTCAGCATGACGATGGGAGTGTTTGGGGGTCGGGGAGTGGGATTCGGTACGTTACTTACTGCTGATTTACATGTTTGCCGCCAGATGCTGAATAATCCACACTTTTGTTCTACCTTCTATGCCTGTATATCTGTCCAATCTCCCGCTTGTCACCCCACTTGTCCAAGTTCCACTTGTTTCCCGCTTGCTGCTCACCCATCTGCTTGCGTGCGTGCGTGCCTGCCCTCTTCCTCCTTCCGCTTTTTGGTACATGTAGCATATCTGCGTTCTTTTTGCCGTTTCCAAGCCCCTGGCTCCTTCCACTGGCTCTGTGGATTCGTCATCTCTTGTCTGCCTCCCGCTCCTTGTTCGTGGACCATTATACCCCACTCGCTCTCTCTCCCTCCATACTTCTATCCCTCGCTTTGCATATCTGTGTATCTATCATTCCATCTATCTAGTTTTTATTTATTTATTTATTCATATTCTTATCCATCCCCTCTCTCTCCCTCCTCTCCCCCCTCACCCCCCTTCGCCACCTCCCCCACCTTCCCCTCTGCTTTGTGTGTGTGCGAGTGTGTGGCAGGATTTGGTGCTGGATGTGGCTTTGGCGTTGGTTGGGGGTTTGGAGGTAAGCAGTCCCAGCCCTGACTTCTCTAGTGTGTCCTGTGTGCTCCTGTATGTTTCTGGTTTCACCATCGACTCTGCTTCAAATGCAAATTGCTATGTGACTGCATTCTTCCTGTTTGCTCCACTTTGTGACAATCGATGTGCGTGCAATAGATGACGTGAGTCATTGGTTTGTTCCAGCATGCGCTTGTGAGATAGCTTCTGTACCCTTGAGCTCACTCTGGCCTCTGCTCTGTTGCTTCCTCATCTGCCATCGCAGGCGCGCCAATAAACTCGCTGGGCATGGGAATCGGTATGTTGTTTTCTCCCCTTCTAGGAGGTTTCCTGTAAACAAACAAAACGACAGGCTGCACTGAAATCTCTTCTATTTGCAGGCTAATCCACATCCTTAATCACATCGCTTCCTGTCCATGCTTCTTCTACCTCTCCCATGCCACTCTGTCTTCTCTCCGTGAGTATAACTGTACTGTTTGCCTGAGTAACCCCCAACCCCCCTAACCTTCCCGACCCTTGGCAGGCGGTGGCTGTGGCGTGGGGTTGGGCATGGGGTGGGGCTTTGGTTTCGCGTATGGTGCGCGGTACATTGAGTCACGCCCACGCTTCCAGGGGGTGGACTTTGCACGGCTGAGGGATGTGGTGCATCCCAAGCTGCACACTGCAGGGCAGGGGCAGGCTGAGGAGAACGGTGGGCAAGACGACTGAGGCGTTGGCGCGGGGCTGGTGAGAGGCTGATGAGCGGGCTGAAGAGGTATTGATGAGGTGCTGATGAGGACTTCATGAGGAGCTGATAAGGGGCTGATGGTGGGAACACACACTAATGGAGCACATGGCATGGGTGATGTCCGTCTACAAGGGATACAGTACGGGGCGAGACTAGACTGGATGATGTGTGTTGCTGCTTTGTCATGCTGGTCGCTCGCTGCTGCTGAGCTCAATTTCTTCTGTGCGCGTGTGTTCCAGTGGACTTGCACTTCTCCTTCAGTGATGTATATATGTGCAATCATGGGTGGTAGGTACTGCTAGTACTATTTTTACAGTTACCGTATTAGCAGCTATGCTTTGCAACCTACCAAGGACAAGCCGAATCAATGTACCGTGTGGTGTGATTCCCTATAAATATTTCTATACAGCAAGAGTTTGTGCCATGCACATCTCATACCTACGGCGCATGCTGATTGTGAACAGCAGCCTAGTGCTGAAGCACTGCACGTCTTGCGTCGTCAAATTCTATGTAGATACCACGACAACACAGGCACATGCACTGCACGCATGCATTCTGAAAACAGACGATGTGAACTGTAGCTGCGTTGTGAATCGTGACGGTGGATCCTGTTCACCACACAAACCCTGTGATTGAACTTGCAACACTGCTTACAAGCACTGCACTACTTCTACATCCCTGTGTAGGCTGCTGAATCGCTTTGCATCCCTCTGCACTGTGGCATGAATGCAAGGATGTAATCTGGCACTGTACGGGGGGTTGGTCATGGAGGCAGGTGGACAGTATGTGAGAAGGGATGTGGTCGGGGGAATCGATGGCAGGGGGTGTGGCTGGGGGAGCGAGGGCACGTGCATGCTGCGAGGATGGACGTGTGGTGGAGATATGCGGGCCGTTGTTGACTGTTGCCGGCACTGCAGTAACCGCATGGTGTTAGGGAGAGCCCTGGATGCATGACAGTGCGGCAAGTAGAATGGCATGCTATGGGGCGTCGAGGTGCTGCATGGCTGGCACCATGGCATGGCCTTCAACATGGGCTGCTGCTCCACTTTGCCTCTCGGGTGCACGGCGCTTCTTGTGGGGCCAGAGCCATTGGCATTTTGGTCACAAAAAGGGCGATTCAGGCGAGCGGTGTGGATGGGTCAAGCGAGGGGTGTGGGTGGTTCCCACACGCGCAGCACTCCTGACCGAGCACCCGTGCAGATGCGCCCGCGGTCCACATCACATGCCGCGTGCCGGATCTGTAGCACCCACATGGCACAGCAGGCATGCAGCATTGCGCACAGGGGGGCTGGCTTGAGTGCACAACAGGGTTGGGAAATCACATGGCAGGGCAAGCGGGTGTGGATGGTAATCAAGTGTGGGTGCACGCCGCATAGGTTGTGTGTGAGCATGCACGCGCATGCAGCACGTGCCGCCTGCCCCCATTGCTCTGTTTGGTGAAGTGAGGCATAGCAACAAGCACCCAGCAGCACATTTGACATGTAAAGACACGTGTGAGAGATGAGCGCTCACCAGGTCGGGTGCGCGGTTGAGATGTCTGGCGAGCTGCCAGTCCGTCATCACCCCCACGCTGCCCACGTAGCCGCGCGCGCCGTTGCTCATGCTGCCCGGCCCGCCCAGGGGGCCCAGGGAGGGCGAGGAGCGGTCGGCGAAGGGGCGGTGCAGCAGGGAGAGCGAGTCGTCCTCTGCTGCCATGGTGACGTAGCGGTCAGACGCCCGCACCGCCACTATGGGCGCCGTGTGGTTCGTCAGCGTCTTCACACACCTCGGCTGCACGCCTGTTGTGGGCAGTGCAGGGCCGGGCAGGGAAGCGAGGGGGTGCGCACAAGGGGAAGGAGAGGAGCAAGAGGGAGAGGTGAGAACGCATGGATGACATGTGCGTGACGGGGCACGACCTTGAGCAGCAGGCAGCTCGTTGACTGTGGCTCATACTGTGACGCACGAGAAGGACAAGCACAGACGTGGCACATAGAGACATGGCTGCTGTGCCGCCCCGCCTTGCCCCTGCACCCAGTCTCATCTTCAGCCAGTGCGTGTCGTAGTGATGCGCAGCACGAGCAAGGCCAGCAAGTACGATTGGCCATCAACAACCAGCACACAAGAATATCATCTGTCCACCCCCCGCTCAGTGCACCCCGCATTACCTCCTCTGCACCTCCAGCAGCAGCCAGTGCAGGTGCCGTGCACTCACCATCCCCGCGGTCCCAGAGGCGCACGGTGCAGTCAGCCGAGCCAGTGATGAAGCCACGTGACGCCGTCACATAGTCCACGGCCGTGACGGGCCCCGCATGGCACGCTACAGTGGCCTCACACTCGCCGTCGTTGAGTGTCCACACGCGCGCCGTCCAGTCGTCACTCCCCGTCACCACCACGTCCCCCGCCACCCGTACCGCCCTGCACCGCATCGCACCGGTTGGGAGGGAGGGTTTGGGGGGGTGGGAGGAGGTTGGAGGAGGGAAGAGAAGAAGGGATATGGGTAAGGTAATGCACATAACAAGACACAGGGTTGGAAGGGTTGAGAATTGGGAAAGTGCATGTGGGATGGGGGTAAGGCCACAGAGGAGGGCGAGCAGAGCAAGGGTAACCACATGACATCGGTCAACAGTCATCATGCCAAGTCAACTACTAATTTGGAATGTAATAATGCAACTGACCCAGGTGCCGCGAACCTGACCCAGGTGCCACCTACCTGACCCAGGTGCCACCTACCTGACCCAGGTGCCGCGAACCTGACCCAGGTGCCATCTACCTGACCCAGGTGCCACCTACCTGACCCAGGTGCCGCGAACCTGACCCAGGTGCCACCTACCTGACCCAGGTGCCACCTACCTGACCCAGGTGCCGCGAACCTGACCCAGGTGCCACCTACCTGACCCAGGTGCCACCTACCTGACCCAGGTGCCACCTACCTGACCCAGGTGCCACCTACCTGACCCAGGTGCCACCTACCTGACCCAGGTGCCACCTACCTGACCCAGGTGCCACCTACCTGACCCAGGTGCCACCTACCTGACCCAGGTGCCACTTACCTGATCAGGTGGCACCCACCTGACCCAGTTGGTGTGGCCTTCTAGTTGGAAGCGCTCCTTGCCCGCCCGCACGTCCCACACATAACAGATGCTGCGAGGCACGGCAACATGGAAAGAGCAACATGGGGGGGTGGGTTCAGAGTGGCGAGAAGGGCGAGGGAGGTGAGCGACATGCACGGCAGAGGGCGAGCACAGGGTTCAGAGCTCCTGCCACACTTGCCTGCTTGCCCCCAGTAGCCCACCCCTCGAGCATATGAGAGCGCTGCGTGGCAGCAGCACTGGAATGCGCAGAGCATGACAACACCCCCATATTCATGATGCAGCCACTCCCCACCTCCCCGCCCCACCTTCCATGCTTCCCTTCACTGCATCACTCTCATGCCAAGTCCCTGCCCTGCTCCCACACTACCACCCTCATCCACCAAACACCATTCGGCTCACTCCATCCCACCCCCACACCACCCCTTGGCCTCACTCACACATCTGCACTACAAAACACACCCTTCCCATCCTTCACCCTACCCCTTCCCATCCTTCACCCTACCCCTTCCCATCCTTCACCCTACCCCTTCCCCCTCTCAAACCCCCACAACGCACCCCTGGGTGCCGGCAGCAACGAGGATGCCGGCGTGGTCCAGGTAGTCAAGGGCGAGGATCATGTGGGGGGAGGGGCAGGTGAAGAGCGTGCTGGCGATGTGGTCCGTGCGTGTGTCCCACAGGTTCACCTGCCCCTCCCTGCCCGCAGTCACCACACTGCCCTTGTTCAGCCCTGGTAGCATGCGCAGCGCTATGATCTGGGGGGAGTGGGGGGGGGGGGGGGGCAGGGGGGAAGGGCCAGGAGCGGAAGTGATGGGACATGGGGAGGGATGATACAAGAGTAGTGTAGGAGAGTGAAAGAGGGCGGCCCCGGTGTGAGGATGCAAGTGAGTGCATGTGCAAGTGTGCATAGGGAGGGTGTGCGACGTGACGTGGCAAGAGCAGGAGGAGCAGACAGCGGGCAGTACCTACCGAGCAGCATCACACGCCCACCCCCTAGGAGCACAACCCTACCCACCCCTACCATCCATCCACCCCATTACACCCCATCCGCACTGCTTCAACCCCAAGGTCTCTGCACACCCCACAGCAGCCAGAAGCAGGCAAGGCGAGCGAGGCAGCTGTGGGAAGCAAGTGAGAAGAGTGAGTGCGCGCATGCGCTGTGGTGGTGGCCTTGCACGCCCGCCCGCATGCACACAGTGACAGCAGTAGGCGAGACGCTGACAGCACCCTTGTGGCATCCGACCCCACACACCTCACACACCTCACACACCTCACACAGCGCAACGCACACCCCACATCCCAACAGGCCCAGAACCTTGGAAGCATACACTTTGGTGGTGGCCGCGCAGGTCCGCCAGCATGCGCGCAGTGGCCTTGTCAAACACCAACAGCCGCTTGTCGTCGCCGCCTGACAGCACCCTCGTGGCGTCCGACCCCACACACCGCACCGCGCTGGCAAGCAGGCGAGGGGGCAAGGGGGCAAGGAGAAGGTGATGGGAGAGCGGTGGAGGGGGGGCAGTGGGATACGGCGGGTAGCTTCCCCCAGAGCGTGAGAGGAGCTGGCGCAGTGGCACAGGAGAACTCAGGTCACGTGAAAAAAGCATGGGTTGGGAAAAAAGAGATCAAGACGGAAGAGAGATCGCAGGAGCAAGCTGGTGGGTTGGAGAGGCGAGCGAACAGTGGGAGAGTGGCATGGCAATGCCGGCAAGGCGTCAACACGGACTCTCCCTGCTGGCACCTGTCCTCGCACCCCACACAATTGCACCCTCGCAGCTGCCACCCATCCTCACACACCACACAATCGGCCCCTCCCACCACACAGCACCGCGCCTTACCCAGTGTGGCCGTGCATGGTGGCGCGCAGCTCATCCCCCCGGGTGCTGGGGTCCCACAGCTTTACACTCGTATCGCAGCTGCCGCTCACAAAGTACCCCGCGCCGTCCTCGCTGTCCGGCAGCAGGTCGCCCAGCTCGCTGCGCGTGCCTGCGTGGAGCGCTGTGACTGGCTGCTTGTGCCCGCGCAGCACGCGCACCCCTGTGGCGCCCCTCCCCTGCGCGTGTGAGTGGCGCAGCGACTTGGATGCCGTCACCCCCGGCCGCTCCTTGCCGCCCTCTGAGTCAAACACTGCACGCGAGAGGGATGTGGGTGGGGGGGAGAGCGGTGGGAGAAGGGGGCGGGGAGATGAGGCTGAGTGAAGGGTGTGGGCCAATTGTTTAGGCAACTCAAAAATAGACTGCCAAAAAGCGGGCAGGCAGCTGGGGCTTTCACACATGCTAACCGGAGCAGCAACAACAAGCAGTAATCCCGCCAGAGACCCACCCTTCCCCCTCCCTTCTCCATCCCTCCCTCCCTTCCTCCTGCTTGATGACGCACCTCCAATGCGCTGGGACCCTCCCCCCCCCTGCAGCAGTTTGTCCTGCTGCTGCTTCTGGAAGGTGCCCAGGTTGAGGTTCCCCAGCGTGCTCATCCACCTCCCCGCCGCCGTCCCCAGCGCCGTTGTCAGCTGGCTCTCGCCGCCCGTTCCCCCGCCGCCCGCACCCTCGCCGCCGCCCTCCTCAGCGGCGCCGGGGGCGGCGTGTGTGTGGCGGGCGAAGGTGGCGGTGAAGAGAGGCGAGGTGGGCGAGAGTGGGTAGTACTGCCACGCACGCTGCAGCAACGCCAGCTGGCCTCGCAGCACTATCTGGTGGGCATGCAAGGGGAGGGGAGGGGGGAGCAGGCAGTGGAGGGTGGAGAAGAGAGGCGAGGTGGGCGAGAGCGGGTAGTACTGCCACGCGCGCTGCAGCAACACCAGCTGCCCTCGCAGCACTATCTGGCAGGGATGGCACGCACGGCGAGGGGAGAGCAGGCAGGGGCGGGCGGAGAGAGGGAGCGAGGACATGGGGACGAGGTGAGTGCGCGATGGCGTGGGAGTGCGGTGGAGCGGGGAAGAAGAGGGAGATGGAGAATTTCCATGGCAGAGGCAACACTTGATCACGATACATGGATGTGAAGTAGTAGTGAGATGGACCGAGGTCCGAGGGTGATCCCACTGCCCTCTCCTATGTATACCCATGGTGCATTCCATGCCATCGGTCCTTGTCCTTGATCCTTCATTCAGCCCCTTGGTCCAGCACTGCACTT